AGATTTACAAACACACACACACACACACACACTGACCTCTCTATGCCGGTCAGCTGCCTCTGTCTAATGGCTGACTTTGTTTACGCTAAACTGGGCCACCGTCAGACCAGAGGTTGTTGAATATGAAAATTAATCTGATCATCAGTATCACTTACTGTGTGTAGCTAGAATTTTTTGAGTGGGGCGGCCAGATTAGACTTTTATAGATTAGTTGCATCCTACTATGAAAAAAAAGCAAAGAAATTAAATAAATAAAAAAAAAATAGAGCTACTGTATTAAGAAGACGTAAGTGATACACTCTAAATCCGTACATCATTTCCACATTAATAACAGTTATTTCCGAAAGTAAACTGAAAGACGAAACCATGTTGATGTATTTTATTCAGTTATGAAGAAGTAGTTTACACAGTAAACCATTTAAATTAAAATTAAATGCAAACAAATGAAGTAAATTAATAATTAATTAATTAATTAATAATAAATTAATCACTGAAGTGTGATTATTCACAACAGGGTAGGTAGGACAGCTATTCTGTGGTGGCTGCTTTACTGATGATGGTTGACTGTCTCACTTTTCATGACTGGGGTGGCCACACCTTGGCTAAACTCACGTGTGTGGACTTCATCGGCACGTCTGTGTCTTACCCTGCATCCACGCCGGCAGCGACTTTTCGCCTCTTGTCGCCCAAGTTGCTGGTTGCTCATCCAGCGGACCATTGGTTGCCATGGTTTCACTGATGCCAAGCACAAACCAGATGCCTTTCCGCTAGAAATAAGTGAGTTTGTGTCTGTGCCGTCAGTTTATGAGGAAAACGCTATTTGGTCTTTGTGATTATTGTCTGTTTGTGACGAACGCATCGCCACCATTAATCCACCTGTAGTAGGAACAATTATCTAGGAACCAAAAAAGGAGCGAACCGTTTCACAGTGGTGGAGATAAAGCGTGCACTATGCTGCTCAACGCTCAATTCCCATTGGTAATCGCCACATCGCTCCGCTTCTTACTTGAACTTTGCCAGAGCCGGTTTTTGAAGAGCCTGGCCACTTCCTATTTCCCCCGTTATATCAAAAACAGGACTGCTAATCAGCAGAGGGCACACGCGGGTGAGTCCTCAATGAATGGGAGTGAATGGAGCTCAACGGCTAAAAACGAAAAGTTAAAAGAGTTTCTAATCAGTCGCTCAGGAAGTTTCTTTAATTTTAGAAAGTAGAAGGATGGATTTCACTAAAAAAGCAAAGAAATCTCACCTGTATGTTTCCTTTTTTCTACAGCAAACGGGTTTTGGGAAGATAGAAGGCGGCATTACTTCTACTGAGTGCTGATTGATCGGTGAGCTGAGCAGCTCATTGGCTGTTCGCGCTCACTGACGTCATGAACGTACACGAGCCGCCGTTTTAAACTCCTATAACTCGAGTTTAAAAGCTCTTAAAAATATAACAGCAGTGTTAAAATGTTTTATGCTGTTCTGTGTTCAGTAAATGATTGTATTCTTTTACATTAAAAATGTTTAAGCATTTATAAACTATGATTTGCTCAATCGCTTCATCGCTTCGCTTCTTATTTGCGTGAAGTTAAACTCTGCTCAACTTTTTCACATCACTGACTCCGCCCACTTTGCGTCGCCAATGTTCGCGCCGCCTCCTGTCGCCGGAAATCGCCAGCTCTCATTGAAAATGAATGAGCACCGGCTACTTTGTCTCGTCGCATCGCTGCCGGTGTGAATGCAGGGTTAGAACTTGAAATAACTCAACTGCTCACGTTGCGTTCAGGTATTTTGGGTTCAGTTCGGCTCCCATTCCCCATTTGAGTTCTCCCACTTTTACTCGATTTCCCTCTGCTTTAGTTTTCCTCATTACTTCATTCTTCCTCTCTACTTTCATAACCTTAAACCAGTTTAAATCTGGCATGCTAGAATCACCCACGCATGTTGTTGACAGAATTTAGCACCGAGGCCCACGCTTGTGAGGAAATGCACGAGAAACTGATTCAGGAGAGGACAGTTCAGTGCAGCCAAAAGCACATTAATATTTAACTATTTTAAGTTTTTGGTAAGTTATTTTAATATGTAAAGAAATAGAGTTCTAGGATTAAACAGGTAAGTTAAGCACTAATATCGTACTATAACAGCATCTCAGTGTGAGAACAGCTCAGGAAAGGAACATTTATCCAGACTGAAAACTTTGAAATGTTTTTTGAAAGCATACATTTCTCAAAACTTCATTTTTTGAGATGGATATTTTATTATACCTTATTATTTCCTACTTTTTATCATCATGACACCATCATTTAACCAGCGCTATCATTAGAAACATCAGTCTTGGGCCATTTCAGGTCAGTTTCAGACGTAATTTTGTGGGCCTCGGGTCAGTTTTTGAAGACTTGATATTGTGGGTCATGTGTCATGGGTCAATTTTTGGTGCTGACTGGACGCTGTGTGTTGGGTTGGGGTTATACTCTGGCAGGAAACTTCCAGGCTGTATTCGGGTTCAGACCAAAATTTCAGGCCCAGTTAAAGCTCTACTGTGTGTTCAGTGAAGCTATTTCAGGTCATGCTTGGTCCTGTTTTAATACTAGTGTCATAATGTCAGCGTCTTCATTTAGATGCTGTATAATCCAAAACAAAGCACTATCCATTTAGCTATGATGCCAAAAGTACTATCCGCTCTCAGTGCACTACAAAACAAAGTGCCTTTACCCTTTTAAGCTTCATATTGCATTTCACTGGATGTAAAACTTAAATGAAGACTGCTAATCTTAGTCAGTGTCAGCGCTAACTTTGCCAATAGAACACTTGACTTTTAAACACTGTACTCTTATTCTAATGCCTGTAGCACAAACAGTAGCGTTTGTGCGAGTGTGTATGATCAATATCTCGATTGCTTGATTGCTTACTGGCTTTTCGCCAAGCACTTTTACTAGGATGAGCAGCCAGTCCAAGCCAGCTGGGCTTTAGGCCTACGCTATAAAGATCCATACAACATAGTATTGTAGTATTCTGCCTCGACACATGGAGGCCCAAGCAGCAACATTTGATGTGATTTCATTATTAGTGTTTTATGTAGCTTAGCCAGTTTTTTCTTACTCCATAAGATGGTGCTGAGGTGTTTCTTCTTTTTGGTGGGCCCAAAGCTGCCATCAGTGGTAGAAGGAACGTTTTTGAATGTTGGCTGAAAGGACTGAAGTGGAGATGAATTGTGATTTATCACGATATGCAGAGGTGGCGCCACACTTGCAGAAGTGGTGAGGCAAAAATGCTTGGTTATATAAAAACAAATACACAGATGTTCTTAGCTAAAATTACTCGTGGAATAGACTGACTAACAAAAGAACAGTATTGGCACTACATATAGCATATAGCATATTATAACATGTCCCGATAAAGCTTTCTATGAACGGAGTCGGTTATACTGCGAGCTGAGAAGCGTCAACCAAATGGTGGTGCTAGTGGGGAAAGCCCCCTCATTGTGGAGATCTAGAACAACCCAAATATATATATATATATATATATATATATATATATATATATATACACCGATCAGGCAAAACATTATGATCCTTGTTTCTACGCTCATTGTGAAACACTGTGTCCACTCACTGTCCACTCTATTAGACCCTCCTAACTTGTCAGTCCACCTTGTAGATGTAAAGTCAGAGACGATAGCTCATCTGCTACTGCACAGTTTGTGTTGGTCATCCTCTAGTCCTTCATCAGTGGTCAAATGACGCTGCCCACAGGACGCTGTTGGCTGGATATTTTTGGTTGGTGGACTATTCTCAGTCCAGCAGTGACACTGAGGTGTTTAAAAACTCCAGCAGCACTGCTGTGTCTGATCCACTCAGACCAGCACAGCACACACTAACACACCACCACCACGTCAGTGTTACTGCAGTGCTTAGAATGACCCACCACCCATATAGTACCTGCTCTGTGGGGGGGTCCTGTGGGGGTCCTGACCACTGAAGAACAGGGTAAAAGGGGGCTAACAAAGTACGCAGAGAAACAGATGGACTACAGTCTGTAACTGTAGAACTACAAAGTGCACCTATATAGTAAGTGGAGCTGATAAAATGGACAATGAGCATAGAAACAAGGATATATAGGTCATAATGTTATGCCTGATAGGTGTGTGTGTGTGTGTTTATATATAAAATGGCATCCTATTACAGCACCACCGTCGAATTCAGTGAGCTCTTTAGAGTGACCCGTTCTCTCACAAACATTTGTAAAGGCAGGCTGCATGGCTAGGTGCTTGATTCTATACACCTGTTGCAATGAGACTGAATAAAACCCCTGAATTCAGTGAATAAGGGGGGTGTCCCCAAACGTTTGTCCATATGATTTTGCTCCAAACGTGGTTAGTGATTATTTTGGTTTATGTCAGCTGGGTATGCGATCATTCCTCAGCGGTGGGTATACGAGGTAAACCTGCATTCGTGTGTAAACCCACCTGATAAATGCATCATAGAAAATCCTGAGAGCAAATCCAGGCTGACATTTCAGTTTTTGGCCCCACAGAGCAGAAGAAGCCTTTTTTGTAGCATTAGCTCTGTAACTACAGCCCAAAGGTCCTTCAGTCTCATCTGATGGCTGCTGTTGTGCTCTTAAACCCAAGCTGGCTGCAGAGAGACTGTCCCAGTAACAGAAGGTCATCTGGGCTACAGATCTGCTCGAGCCCTTCTGGGGTCAGATCCACCAAAGTGTCTTAAGAAGTAAAATCTTCTTAGATGTGCCTTCTTTACTTCAGATTTGAGGGACAATTTAAGATTTTTCTAAAGTTATTCTTCAAAAAAAGAGCAACATTTTATATATATATATAAAAGCAACATATATATATGTATAATAACTATAATAGTTATTATAATAATGGATGGATGTATAATAACATCCATCCATCCAATCTTTTCAGACCAGTTCTAACACTGACCCTCATTCTTAGATTCTGATTATGCTGCTTCAGTTCTGACTCTGACTCTAATCCTGATGCTCTCTGTGTGCAGCATGCGTCTCTGGCGGCGAGTCGTTCGGACAAGGGCACGAGCGTGTCGAGCCGCTCCCTCGGCGCACGCTGCCGGAACTCCATGGCTTCCTGCTCGGACGATCAGCCGCACATCGGCAACTACCGGTTCCTCAAGACCATCGGCAAGGGCAACTTCGCCAAAGTTAAACTGGCCCGCCACATCCTCACCGGCCGAGAGGTGAGAGCCACACTTCATGTGAAAGGGGAACTCCACCGGTTTTTCAAAATTTGCTGCATAATACAGTGGCTGAGATACAAACAAACTTTGTTTGAGAAATGTTTGAAAAATCTGTTCCCTTTAACCTTTTACAACTCAGGGAAGTTAGAAGTCTTGAGTTATTACATTTTGCTATGCTATTTAAATACAGTTACGCAGTTACTTTGTACTTAATCATGTAATAAATTACATTAACATTTGATTTACATTGGAGTTTTCTTATTTTTGTTTTAAACTGTTTTATCTATATTTTCAGTTTGTTTAGAAGTCAGAAAAGCTGACACAACACAATTAGCAAATCCAAAAAAATAGTCTGGATTGAAAGTTTAGAATCTGCACACAGAACTTCTCATCTTGTTTCAGTGAGCTTCAAATTACTGTATTCTTTTTTTTTCTGGTGATAACTGTGACTTCTCAGCCCTAAACCTTGACCATTAACCAGAGTTTAAATGACCAGTAATGGAACAGTTTGGCGAAAGAAATATCAAACGTACACAATTTTGCTACTTTTTCCAGATGCAGTCAATCAGCCGAGTCATGCTTGTTGTCCACATTTTGCTTCTTTACTTTAGTGCTGCAGCTACAATGCTAACGTTGCTATACTAGAACACTGGAAGTCAATAGTCACCCGAATCTTTTCAGTAAATACATCCTCAAAGCTTCCCTCAACCACATCCAAGCCTTCATTTAAGGGACAATTTACTACATTTTTCTTGTTTTTTGTTTTTTCTCTTGAGGTCCACTTATAGCTTATGTGTGGTTTTATTGACCCCAAACTGTCATAATTCATTTTTATAATCTCTGTTTAACCCTTAGAATTAAACAGGCTGTTTTTTATTATTGCACCTTTAGGACTGATATATGTAAACTACCTCTGTTCTTATTGGCTGCCCTGTATTGTGCTTCATTGTAAAAGCACTCAGAGCTGAAACACTGTATTTACATACATCCACACTGGATATGTGGATGTATGTAAACGAGTTGACTGTTGTGACATCAGAGAAACAATGTATTCAAAACAGGACAGTTTTGTAGCTTAGTTTGATATAGACTGTATGGACATGGTGCGTTTTGGAACATGTTAACATGTTACTTTAAACTGCTTATGTTTTAAACATGTGGAATTCAGTTTTCTGTGATTTGGGCCTTTTAAGCCCTTTATTGAGAAGTATAACAATAACAATAAATAAATCATCATGCATACAACTAGAAGTCTAAAACGACTGACCACAGCATTCCCCATTCAAGTCTGCACAGCCTTAAAGAAAAGCTGGATGCAGTTTTAGGGGAATGAGGGAAGTTTTGGAGTAATCACAGAAAAGATTTGGGTGACTATTGGCTTCTAGTGTTTGTTAGCAACACCTCGTAGCTCCCAATAACAAACTAAAGAGCAGAATTTTGACACCAAACCATGTCTTGGCTGGTCTGGAAAACGTGCAAAAATGTGTAAATTAGATTTTTTATGTCAAACTATTTCTTTAATCATTGTTACAAAAGACATAAGCAGGGTTAGCTCTGCTAGCTCTGATTCCACGTGGAAGTGTTGGCTGATTGGTACGATGGTGTTTTAGGGCCACTGTTAATAAAAGTAAAAATAGTAGACTTCGAGAATAAAGTCGTAATATTTCAAGAAAAAAGTCGTACGGTGTGATATTTTGAGAAAAAAAATATATTTCGAGAATAAAATCGTACTTTTTTGAGAAAAAAGTCATGGAATTACAGCATTAAAGTGGCATTAATACCAGGAAAGGTCGCAATATTGTGGCCAAAGGCTTTGCAGCCCGCTCCTCATATTAAAATGAGGGGTGGTGAGTTGGTGGAGTTATACTTTCATATCGATTCACCTATAAAGAAACACTCAGTCTCCCTGTCTCTCCTGCACATCAGCACCAGCCTGTTTTTTCTCAGATTTTTTTCTCGAAATATCATACTGTACGACTTTTTTCTCGAAATATCATACTGTACGACTTTTTTCTCAAAATAGTACAACTTTATTCTCGAAGTCTACTATTTTTATTTTTATTAACAGTGGCCCTACGACTCCGTCGTAGATTGGTTGAGAGAGGTAGAGAGTGAAACAGAGAGAAGCAGTGGAAGGTAGAGAGCTGTAGCTGAGCGGCGTGTCTGAATCAGACCTTTCAGGACGCACGGCTGGCTGCCCTCACACTCTGACAGATTTGTGTCACCGGACGGTGAACAGGCACGCCGTACTAGTGTGAAGAGAAACATTCATCATTTATGTGTAAAAACGCAGCAGTCAGAGCGAGAAGAGGCTCTAAAATCAGCAGACGAAGAGGAAACTAATCTCCTCGTTGTGGGTGTTGTGCCCTTATTGTATGAATCATGTGGAAATATTAGAAAGACGCTGTATTTGTCCTCAGTGTGTTGGCAGTGGCAGGACGGTGCCGTATTCCTGCGGTTGGCCGACTAATAATTCAGCTCTAATGAGTTATTAGCTTTGGATGCTTTATCTGCTCCATATGCTCAGTCGGATTCAGTAACTGATCAGGCTTTTGTGTGTTTTTTATGCTTTCACTCATTTCAGGTTGCAATAAAGATCATCGACAAAACTCAGCTGAATCCAACCAGCCTGCAAAAGGTGAGCAGCACCGGTTCCGTTCTGCGTTTTCTGTGTTATCAAAGTAGTGTAGACATGCAGTAAACCGCTCTCTTTCAGAGTCTGTAGTCCTGTTCATTCTTTTTCACCCCTGAGATGTTATATCTTAATAAATACAGCAGGGATGCGACAATTCATTGATTTGATTGATGAATTATCTCCTAATTCCTATGTTACAGTATATTCAGGTGCAAACTTCAGAATGTTAAAGGGTTTATATTCTATTTTTTTCCCCTATATGATCCATTTATGTTGTGATCTTCTGTCCCAAAAACAGTCCCTTCATTTTTGCATCACCACAACCTCTTTATCCTTTAGAAATCTACTTCTGTTACTCCGCATTTCAGTCACATACAAACGTCCGGTCAAATGTTGTTGGTTTTTTAAGTGAAAATAAGTAAAATAACAAACTTAAATATCACACTTGTCTGCAAACTTTAGTGCACAGTTTGTATTTATTTGCTGAGTTTAACATACAGTTTATGTTTTTTTTTTATAATATGTAAAATTAATCAATTAGACACTCTTAAAAAAGATGGTTCTTCAAGCGTTCTTTAGTAAAGAACACTCAACGAACTCTTGGCATGACTAAAGGATTCTTTGCACCATGAAATGGTTCTTCAGATCGATGGAGAATGTGCTGTAGATGGTCCTATAGAGAACCTTTTTGAAAGAGGTTCTCTACAGCCCCAAAAAGAGTATTGTTACAAGCTTGGCATTGCAACAACAGAAGAATTCATTTGGGTGCTATATAGAACCTTTTTCAAACAAGCACATTTTCCATCGATCTGAAGAACCCTATAATCATGCAGAAGGTTCTTTGAGTGTTCATGGTCCTATATAGAACCATTTTCTTTACTAAAGAACCCTTGAAGAACCTTCTTTTTTAAGAGTGTACAGTAATTGTACAATTACAGACTGTAGTCCATCTGTTTCTCTGTGTACTTTGTTAGCCCCCTTTTACCCTGTTCTTCAGTGGTCAGGACCCCCATGGACCCTCACAGAGCAGGTACTATTTGGGTGGTGGATCATTCTCAGCACTGCAGTAACACTGACGTGGTGGTGGTGTGTTAGTGTGTGTTGTGCTGGTCTGAGTGGATCAGACACAGCAGTGCTGCTGGAGTTTTTAAACACCTCAGTGTCGCTGCTGGACTGAGAATAGTCCACCAACCAAAAATATCCAGCCAACAGTGTCCTGTGGGCAGCGTCCTGTGACCACTGATGAAGGACTAGAGGATGACCAACACAAACTGTGCAGCAGCAGATGAGCTATCGTCTCTGACTTTACATCTACAAGGTGGACTGACAAGGTAGGAGTGTCTAATAGAGTGGACAGTGAGTGGACACAGTGTTTAAAAACTCCAGCAGCACTGCTGTGTCTGATCCACTCGTACCAGAACAACACACACTAACACACCACCACCACGTCAGTGTTACTGCAGTGCTGAGAATGATCCACCACCCAAATAGTACCTGCTCTGTGAGGGTCCATAGGGGTCCTGACCACTGAAGAACAGGGTAAAAGGGGGCTAACAAAGTATGCAGAGAAACAGATGGACTACAGTCTGTAACTGTAGAACTACAAAGTGCACCTATATAGTAAGTGGAGCTGATAAAATGGACAGTGAGCGTAGAAACAAGGAGGTGGTCAGAATGTTATGCCTGATCAGTGTATAAATACCATAGTATGGGCCTTTTATATCAGTTCACTTTATCAGCCAAACAGAACCCCAGCCTGCATGAATTACTCAGTTGATAATGGATGAATGGATGGATGTGTGTATATGGATGGATAGTTGGATGATTGCAGCTCGGACTGAAGGGTGGATGGCTCTATTTGTGTATGTAAGCCTATGTATAGATAGCCGTATGTACAGAATGCATGGACGGATGGAGCTGATGTGACTGTGTGTGTATATTGTTCGCAAGTGTGGAACAGTGAGTCCCTGTTCGTGGCTGTGTGCTCTGTGACTCATCTCCCTCACACTAGATTATCTGTGGCCTGCTTTAGCTCCTGCAGAGTCCAGCCCCTGTATAGTGGCACTCTGTAGCACACTGGACTATCTATAGCCTGCTGTTCTCAACCAGTGAGCACCCATAAGCCCCTTTTACACATGCAGTTTTAGTCAGATATTTACCAGTCATTGAACGGGAAAGGGGTTAAGTGTGGACACCAACACAAGCACCTGCAATCCCTGAGAAATGACCCTTATGTGGATGATGGGTACATTACTGGTAAACACAGTGCTGATTAGACTGCAACCATCAAACTGGAAAATTTTTGTGTTGGATTTTGTTTTTTACAAATTAATTTTGTTGGTTTCGTGTTGGATTTTGTAGATGATTCATCAAAAATATGCAGTGCTTATGTGCTACGCTACTGCACAGGTCACTACTGCGCAGGTCACTACTGCGCAAAAGTGATGCAGCATGGCCAACAAAGCAGAACATTTGTTTGTGGCTTTTGCTTTTGCATATATTATAAAATAAACCACCCAAAACACAGTAAGAAGGACAAAGCTGAAGTTGGCTTCCTATTCGCCAGCTTCTTGTTCGAGTTTTCCTGTTCCGCCTTAAATGGTGCAACAGTCACTTTCTGGTGCCTAAAGCTGCACCATTTAAGGTGGAACAGGAAAATTCGAACAAGAAGCTGGCTGATGCAGCTGGTAAGGTAACGTGTAAGAAGGTGCTAACGTTAATCTATTATGAATATCTACACAGATTAAAGAATGCTATAATGTACATAGCTACAAAGCTTTAACCACCATTGTAAATAAATAACTACTACATAAAGATCCGCTGAATAGACTATTAAATGAAATGAGCTTAATATAAAACCAGAGGAAAAACAATCACATCAACAGGTTCTCAGGTCCTCACGGCCATATCTACACAAACATCACACAAACAATAAACATCACACAGACATGAGTGTGGATCACTGCGTTCCCTCCGTTATATAATCCTATCCTGCTTACTAAAAGCAATATTCTTGAAATAGTGTAATTTTGGACAATATCTTTCTTAAACTGCTGCTCTGTAATGGTACTGAATGCAGTCCAGCAGCGATGTTGACCGCCCCAAAATTGCGGCGCCGTTGACGTGCCTGGCTGGACCCGACGCGGCATCTAGGCATGCTGTGGTTAGCACTGTGCAAACTGCATAGCTCAATTATTACACATTTGCCTCAAAACATTTTCTGTAATTTTAAATACATCTACTTATAATAATAATAATAATAATAATAATAATGTTAGCTGATAAAACAAATATACAAAAAAAGAGAACTAAAGCTGAAGTAAAGTAAAAAGCTGGGATTGTTTCATTTATGTATAGTTTGGGGGAGTTTTTATTATATGAACCTTATGCTGTAGAATTTAATCCGAACGATCAACATATAATGTATCTTTCACAAACGCTCACAAGTTCTACAGATTACGGTGCACAAATTACTGCTGTTTGACTTTCTGATGTGTCGCTCGTCGGATTGAATTTGCTGATGTCGGACGTAGTGGTCTTTTTTTCACCGTGTCGTTTGGGACACTCCTGACAGTGGACTGGCCTGTCATTTCTCCTTAGTGTAGAACCGTCCACTCAGAGCCCACAGGGAGGAAAAGAGAGAGAGAGTGCAAGAAACGCAGAAGAAGAGGGAGGCTGAATTTGACGCAATGTCCAGTGATGTTGTGGCTCTGCACTGAGTCTGTGTTACTGTACAGAAATCTCAGCAGCTCTAGAATAGAGCGGTTAGTCTAAGCGGTCAGTTAAGTCTCCGGCCAAACCACAGCTGTTCTGAGGTCAGCTGAGAACCAGGCACTGCTGACGGTGTGGTCTCCTTTCCGAGGTCCGGTGTCCTCTTGCTAGTTACAGGAATGTCTGCATCAGTTGAGTGGTGAAGGAATGGGCGGAGCTTAGCCGCTTTAGGCTGAATAGTGTGGATTTGTCTCTCCAGTAGTAGTGTAGCTCCGCCCATTCGCACTGAAGTTAGTAGGAGTGTTGCAGCCTGGCCTTTTTGAATGAGGGCGCAATACAGGACGGCCAGTCAGAACACAGCTCATTGAAATATAGCTCATATATGAAATATGTCTTACAGGCACAGATCTAAGGGATAAACAGAGGCTGGAAAAATGAGTTATGAATGTTTTTGGTACAGAAGCCTCGTAAAAATGCAGCATATGGACCCTCTGAGTTTCAGCTCTACTGTTTTCCTGTCGTGGCTCACTGTTGCAGCTTCACACGTTTGTGATCGTACGTCGACTCTGCTTTCTTTGCCCAGGATGTAAACAGCTCACCTGGGACGTTGGCATGGAGACGGCGGTCATCGCTGCCAAATTCTAAATGCTTTAAAAGCGAGCCACACATCTTGCGTCTGACCACAGCCAAGCTCAGAACTTTTCATCCGAGGCATAAATAAGGATTTGTTGACAAGCTAAATGTCAACAGAGCGAGAAAACTGATCCAGGATCAGCTCCTCTTGATGGTCATTACAGCCTAAAAAGCCAAAACTGAGCCCAGTCCAGCGTCAACAGTCCACAGAAGGAAGCACGTTTTTCGAAAGCAGCGTTTGTTTATGCGCATTTATTCTATTTGTAATGCATGATGGCAAATCCCTGTGTGTGAGTGTGTGTGTGAGTGTGTGTGTGTGTGTGTGTCTGTGTGTGTTGGAGAAGAAAGGTCGACAGCTGCGGTCCTCCACAGGCCTACAGTCCCCCACAGTGTCTCAATCTGAGCCCTATATAACACACACCCACCACACGTGCACACACACACACACACACGGACGAGCACCTAACACACACAAACAAGCACACGTTTGTTTTTATACCTTGTCAGGATGTAGGGCACATATGTCTCATATATATATATATATATATATATATATATATAAATGTTGCTGCTTTCCAAAATGGTAACTTTACAGGAGAAGGAAAAAAACCTGCTTTACTTTTAATGTAAGTCAATGGAACCAGACTTTTAATCTTAGAAGTTGGTTTAGCTTTTTCTGCTTCTCACCATCCAAATAATCAAACCCATTCAGTGGTGTTGAGGTCTGGACTCTGGGGTGGTCAGTCCATTGTTCAGCTTCTTTGTCTGATGTGTCCGTCTCCTTTTCTCAGTGAGGTTCTTCTTGATCAGCTACACATCCTTTCAGACCCATAGCGCTGAGTCGTCTTCTCACAGTGGAAGGATGGACAGAAACACCTGTGGATGTTTTCAGATTTGAAGCAGCTTGATTTTCTCCTCTCTCTCAAAGATGAAAGCTTTAAGTGCTGTTTATCTGATGGGGGCAGTTTTGGTGGTCAACCGGGTCTTCCCGGTGGTTGTTAGGAGCTCCATTTTCTCTGTAGTTTTTAATTTTTTGAATCAAGTTTTTGTAAACTCCTGTTTTTTTCACTTTAACTTCCTCCTTCCTTATGCAGGTGGAGTAACTTCTATCTAATTTTCTCCCAAATATCTCCTGAAAGTGATAATTTGTACTGGAAGGCCGTTTAAACGTCCCTATTGAGGAGCGGCGCACTAAACATACAGTGCTGCGTGTACCACTGTTAGCAGTACTGCTGATGTGCATGTACGGTGTTATTCATCGTCGCTGGCACTGTGCCAGGCCGTATAGGTTGTGTTACTTGTTCCCCCACCACACGTGTGTTCTGTATCACATGTTAATGTGCTGCGGTTTCCCTACTTAAACACACGTGACTCATCACCGCAGCTGATGAAGTGAATCAGGTGTGTGTAATGTGTGGTCACTGAGTGGTCTGTTTTTTTAGGGCAGGGTCCTGGGAGTTTCACACACGCCCTCTGAACAGTACGTAGTACATCCAAGCTAGATATGCAACAATATGCAGCAAATCTACAGATACGAGTGACAGAAACCACATAAGCAAGTCTGCATAAGATTACCTAAAGGGGAATTCCACCAATTTTTCAAAATTTCTGCATTTTTCAGTGGTTGAGGTGTAAACAAAGTCAATCAGAGTGGTTTGATGTGAAATGGTTCATTGTAGAGAAAGTCAGACTCAGATTTCTTTACAGTGGTGGTGATAGGAACCAGGGGTCGCCATGACTACAACACAAACATAGACATTTTATTAAATGTCCAAAAGCAACAGTGAACCTAACTGTGCCTTCTGAGTTTTATATGTAATGTTGATGTGAAAAATATGAAAAAATAAGATTTTCTTGTCTTGCAACACCCTGCATGCACCCCTCCTCTATGGATGTATCTCAGGCATCAGGCAATCATTTCATGTAATGACTTTCTGTGAGGGAGCTTAAGCTGCATAGGACGTCTGGTTCCCATCACCACCGCTGTGAGCAATTCTAATTCAGTAAGTGTCTCTAGAACAGATCGTTTCACACCAAACCACTCTGAATGACTTGGTTTACATCTTGACCACTTAATTATGCAGAAATGTTGAGAAATGAGTGGAATTCCCTTTAAATAGTATAAGGTTTTCATGATGGGTAGCTTTGCTGTCACTGGAGCTCCCTGTTTGTGGAGTGGCGTCCTGGCAGCTGCGCAGGTATCCCATAATCCTCCACGGCTCAGCTGGGCCAGGCATTAGAATTCTTACTGAGGTTTCCATGGTAACAGCGCTGATCTATAGGGTCCTGCCTAAAGGCGAGAGAGAGAGGGAGAGAGGAGGAGTGTGGAAATGGGAGGGGGGGGGCTGTTGTGCATTGTATTGTCTATGATACATGAGTTTTGAGTCGATTTATCATAATCCATCATCATATTGTAATTGAATCTGATTGGTTAACATTCAAAACAATTCAGAAATATTGATTCTTTTAAAGTCTGGTTTCTTAATGAAGCCGAAGTGAAACCACATATCTGACCTGAGTGCTGCTGGAGCTGCTCACAGCAGTTAATGTCTTTTTTCCTCTGGTTGTCTTTCTTAAAGGGCCCATATCCTACATTTCTATTGTTTATTTCATTTGTCTGCTTATGATGTTTTGTTGATGTGTTTTTTTCTTTTCTTTTTATTTATTCATTCATTTTTAAAAAACCAAAACAGCCATATTTCATTTTTACTATTTAAGACTATTTTCCTCTCTTTATCTCTTAGAAATGAACACATTTTTCTTACTGTGCCTTATATGTAAATGAGGTCTGATCTGATTGGCTGCCCTGCATTCTGACTGCTTTAAAAAAAGCAGACCAGGCTGAAAGACTTAACTGCAGTAGTCTGAATAGCTGGATGTGTATAAATGCTTTGTATTTTTGTGAGATCACTAAAAACAATGAATTCAAAGCAGCCTGTTAGGCAGCTTAGTGTCCAGTTCATCCATGGACTGTATGGACTGTGGTGGGGGCGTGAACATTTTTTGAAACACTGTTTACATGCTACATCAACCTCTTTTATTAAAAAAAAAACAAAAAACAAAAAAAACAAGGAAAATATGGGCCCTTTAATTATCCTTCAACATCGGCCACTAGAGGGCACTAATGAGATCGTCCAAAATAAATGGATTTCTAAGGAGCTTTTGTGCACTCGTGGTTCGTAGTAGCAATATGCATAATAAATATACAGTAATAAATATACAGGCTAATCAGATACATAATAAATACACTATATGGACAAAAGTATTGGGACACTTCTACATTACACCCATGGGAGCTTTTATGACTCCATAGGCATTAATATGGAGTTGGTCCTCCTTTGCAGCTATAACAGCTTCCACTCCTCTAGGAAGCTTCCTATAAGATTCTGAAGAGTGTCTGTGGGAATTTTTGCCCATTTATCCAGAAGAACATTTGTGAGGTCAGACACTGATGTTGGACGAGAGGGCCTGGCTCACAATCTCCATTCTCGTTCATCCCAAAGGTGTTTGATGGGGTGGAGGTCAGGGCTCTGTGAGGGCCAGTCAAGTTCTTCCACACCAAACTCACCCAGCCTTGACTTTATGGACCTTGCTTTGTGCACTGGGCCTCAGTCACGCTGGAACAGAAAAGGTTCTTCCTCAAACTGTTCCACAAAGTTGGAGGCTACAATTGTCTAAAATGTCTTGGTGCTGGAGCATTAAGATTTCCCTTCACTGGAACTAAGGGTTCTAGACCAACCCCTGAAAAACAACCCCATATCATCATCCCTCCACCACCAAACTTTACAGTTGGCACAGTGCAGTCAGGCAGGTAACGTTCGCCTGGTTTTCCAAACCAGCATTATAAACAGCGCAATATTAGAGGTGAAATATAATAAACCAATATAACACGTTAGCCATGAGCTGTTATGTTAGCCCTGAGCTAATTTACTAGCCGACAGCTAACAGACTAGCCACGAAATACAGTGGCATACAATACAGCATGATGTGGTACAACACCGTTTGCTTCAGTACAGTATGAAATATGTTATTACACCCTTATTGTAATTGTATAATGGCTATAACTAAGGAACAGTACTGAATGTGGATCGTCTTGTCTGGATAATGTTACCTGTGATTAGCGTCAGCACTGGTGCTGATACTGATCCAGTTTATGGAGTCATCACAACATCTAGACCTAGATCTGATTTTCCTTTTTGAGTGTAACTTTAAGATTTTATTGGAGTGTGGAGATTATCTCCAGATTATCTTCAGATTATTCTTTTAGGGCAGCCTGTGTGCGTGTGTGTGTGTGTGTGTGTGTGTGAGAGAGTGTGTGTGTGTGTGAGAGAGTGTGTGTGTGTGTGTGTGTGTGTGTGTGTGTGTGTGTGTGAGAGAGTGTGTGTGTGTGTGTGTGTGTGTGTGTGTGTGAGAGAGTGTGTGTGTGTGTGTTCTCATCCGGTTCCTCTTTTTCTCTGCAGCTGTTTCGGGAGGTGCGGATCATGAAGGCTCTTCATCACCCCAACATAGGTAACACATACACACACACACACACACACACTACTCTCTCTCTCTCTCTCTCTCTCTCTCTCTCTCTCTGTGTCTCTCTCTTTCAACCACATTCACTCCCACTCTTACTCTTTCTCTCTCACACACACACAGTAAAAAGTAATCCTGTACAGCTGGTGGTCAGATCAGCTCTCCAGTATTAAACACTATTAGTCCTTATTCAGCTCAGTAATGCATCATAAAAACATCCTTCATTCAGAGTTATTTATGTCTGTCTGTCTATCTATCTATCTATCTGACAAAAAATTAGTCAGCTTACGTGTTTAAGGTGGTAGTAACTTAGGCCCCTGCAGATGGCGTTGCACAAGGAGGAGCGGGCTATAAATACCTGCGGGGTGTACGACGGGATTCATAGATTGAGAAGAGGTGGTACAGTGCGGTGAATGTCTTATTCAATATGTAGAAATTGGGTCGCAAAGCAGATGTTAATGATTGGCAAAAAAGGAGTGATTGCATTTGGGTGTGAAGGAAGTAGCTGAATTTGCAGGCGTATTGAAGCGTACAGTCATACAGGTCGACCAGCAGTGGCGAAAATCCCAGTCTACAGAAAATTCTTGTCAGAATTGTGGCCGAAAGATGAAACTGATGGACAGGGACTGTCTGCGTTTTTCCAGCGTCTGAATAAAAATGACTTCGCTTCCAGGCAAGAATTGCTTCTAGAAGTCAGCGCAGGTCCTTCACAACCAGTTTCTGAAAGAACACTCCGCATACCATGAACATATGGAGCAGAGTGGCTCACAAGAGGGCTTTGCTCACTTCTGCTCGCAAAGCTGCCCGATTATAGTGGACGAAGAGACAAACACTGGACTGTTTATGACTGGAAACGTGTTATCTGGTCAGATGAAACTCATTCCTGTCTGTGTGTGAATGATCCTCGGGGTCGTGTTCATCGTAGACCTCAGGGAGCCTTCAGTGAGGACTGTGTGCAGGTGTGGTTCAAGCTGGAGGAGCTCTGTGATGTGGGGGTGTTTTACTTATGTCGTTTGGTTGAGGCGACAGTAAATTTGAACCACAGTGCCGACACTGAGCTGCTGGACAACCAGCTTTTACCTTTTGCTCATCATCTTCCTGAGGAACCTAACATCCCTATCCCTGTATTACAGGATGACAGTCTTCTGTCTGTCTGCCTGTCTGTCTACATATCTGTCTATCTGTGTGTCTATCCATCTGTGTGATTTTATGCTTATGAAATTGTCTGAAAGATGTGTGTTATTTGTTTACTTGGCACACAAAATTGTGAATTTCTGATTTGGTTTATTTCTTTGGTCAATATAATATTTTGTGTTTTCAGTGCAACTGTTTGAGGTGATTGAGACGGAGAAGACCCTTTACCTAGTCATGGAGTACGCTAGCGGAGGTACGGTCAACACATCGGTTATTTCACAGTGTGTACTTCCAGCTAGGGCCGAATGATATGTCAACAGCTGATAAGTGGAGAACACTTTGATACTATTTTTGGTCCAGTATTGGAATTACAGCTGAAAAGTACAATGATTACTTGCTAAGTAAAAAGTGGAGTTATTCGTAGTCGTCAGAGGCCAACACACAGCCAGGCAGGTACATGCAAGACGAAGGGTCAACATGCCAAAAGGACTGAGAGCTACCAGTAAAACCAAAGACAAGAAAACATGTAAAACATCTAAGAAACACACAGAAATATGGCAAGACGGAGCTCGATGACCAGTACAAAATGGGGGAGTCAGTGTGATGTCGTCTCAGCGACACCACCTTTTTGCTTGTGCTCGAATTGATGCGCTAAATACTTTCAGTGTTGCTAATTTAATTCATTCAAAAACTAGTACAGCATGAGCTGGAATTAGCAGCTGGCATCTACAGTTTTAACCACTCGTATGTTCACTGCACTTCATGTAATATATATCATATATAATGCATTATTTTTATTAGTATGCAGGATTAAATATCAGTTATCAGAACTGATCTCAGCCCTGAAATATTAGATTTCGTATCATCTTTATTCTTGGATGATATGATGATAAGATGATATTGGCAGTGGAGTCAGAGAGTAGTAAGTACACTTCTATATGCATATTCATTAACTTGCAAAATCTCCATTCATTTATAGGCCTGCTGTTGCGTTCATTAGCATAATGAGGCCTTAGCCTGCTGGATGAGTCTTAGCATGTTAGCATGTTTTATTAAATAAGGGTGTTTTTCAGGTGAGGTGTTTGACTACCTGGTGTCTCACGGGAGGATGAAGGAGATTGAAGCGAGAGCCAAATTCAGACAGGTGAGCACAGACTGAGTTTGGTGTCTGATATAATGCTGATAGATTGTGTTGTGTGAGTTTTAAGGGGAATATACAATATTTTTTCCTGCAATTTCTGCATAATTCAGCAGGTGAAATGTAATCACGAGTCATTCAGAGTGGCTGACTCTGTCTTTACAGTGGTGCTGATAGGAACCAGGGGTCACAAACACAAATATAGGCATTTTATTTACTCTTCAAAATGACCAATGTTTTAAAATGAATTTTACTGAGGTTTTTAATGTTGATAGTGTTAAAATAACGGTGAACCTGGAAAAAATAAGTTTTGTTTGGATGTTACAATGCCTGCCTGTATCTCTCCACACTTTAAACATACATTTTAGGCTGAAACCTTCTCAAAATTATCATAAAATAATGTTTCAGCCATCATATTCATATCCATTTAATTTATTGGCTTTCTGTGAAGGACATTTTAGAGGCATTAAACTCTTTTTATCACCACCAATGTGAACAGTTCTGATTTGATTTCTCTAGAATGGAGCATTTCACATCAAACCACTCTGAATGACTTTACATCTTAACCATTTGATTATGTGTAAACTGAAAAAAAAATGGTGGAATTGCCCTTAAAGACTCCCTTTGGTGTCATTTTAAGAGACGGAAACAGAAAAAAACAGTCAAAAAGCTACATCAGGTTTAAAAGACATTCCTTTAGCACAGAGTAGCAGCATTTAGGAAGCATGAGGTCATTAACTTAATTATGATATATGATCTGATTCTGTGGTGCTGTGATATATTTAGAAAATGTTGTGATATTGAATCTTATCAGTGCCACCCAGCACTAAATAAACTATCATGTGAACAGTTGTATTAATAGGAGATCCTTGAGCTTTGCCAGCTTTGTTTATTTGTCTGTTTGTTTGCAGATCGTCTCTGCTGTTCATTACTGTCACCAGAAGAACATAGTCCACAGGGACCTGAAGGTAAGCTGGAGAACATCTTAAACATCTGTTAGAAGTAGAGCCGTCATGTTTACTCATATCTCAAGTCCTTATTTGTCCAAAATAACATTATTCCGATTTTTAGAAGTGTTGAGTTTTCTTAAATTTGACGTTAGTTAGGAAACAGTGAGGTCTCTTTCCTTGGTTTGTAGTGCATGAGCTACATTTGGTACATTGTCACCTCAAATCTGGTCTTACATTGACAAGTATTAAAGGGCCCATATGATGGAAAACCCAAATTTCTGGACTTCGTTTAAATAAAAGTGTTAGACGTAGCGTGTAAATCATTTAAAGGTCCCAATCATTCACTCCCCACTCCATTACAGTTCTTATATGGAAACTAAAGCAGGTAAAAGTGGCCCAAATCTGATTTTCTCACCAAATCCGATTTTTTTGTTCGGTTGTTCACATTATCTTTTAAATGTGATCTGTATGCCACATCAGTCTGAACAGATCAGCTGCTAAACCGAACCGCATGTGCAAAAGAACAGTGCTTCACGTGGCTCATCCAGAGGTAAACAATCATAACCGCCAAAGAACGCCAGTCGCTCCCGGAGGGCTCAGTTTCATCTTCGCCAGCATGCGTAAACATTAGGGGTGATGCGTAAACATTAGGGGTGATGCGTAAACATTACCCCAAATGTTTATGAGGTCTCAGCAGTGCGAAATTATAACGAATGTCGATAATATATGATATAATGATACACACCAATCAGGCATTACATTATGACCACCTCCTTGTTTCTATGCTGATTGTCCACAGCAGCACTGCTGTGTCTGATCCACTCAGACCAGCGCAACACACACTAACACACCACCACCACATCAGTGTTACTGCAGTGCTGAGAATGATCCACCACCCAAATAGTACCTGCTCTGTGAGGGTCCATGGGGGTCCAGACCACTGAAGAACAGGGTAAAAGGGGGCTAACAAAGTACACAGAGAAACAGATGGACCACAGTCTGTAACTGTAGAACTACAAAGTGCACCTATATAGTAAGTGGAGCTGATAAAATGGACAATGAGCGTAGAAACAAGGTCATAATGTTATGCCTGATGTGTATATGATATAATGAATTCGTATCTGGCTGTTCAGACTGAGTCGCATTGCCGCAGATTGGATATGTATAAGATTTCAGTACCACATATGAAAGCGTCTCAAATTGGAATTGAAAATGTCAGATTCAGTGTGTTTATCTGTTCACACTGACACACTGTCACGCTTCCTGATTCTCGTTCGGACTCTCAGACCACCAAGAACTCCACTTCCCAGAATCCTTCAGTCAGTCATGAGACTCTTCCAGCCAATCACAAACCACCTAACAGATCACAGTCACCGGAATACTAATCATCATCACCTGTTGTACTCTGTATGTATACTGGTCTGTTTGAAACTTATCTTTGCGAAGTATTGCCCTTACTTAGTCTGGGCATACCAAGCCGTTTGTTTTTCTGATTGCTACTCCGTGTTTGACCTCGCTTGTTTTTGCTGCTTTCTGAATGACACACAATACAGGGCAGCCAATCAGAACAGAGCTCAATTACTCTTTTCTGTTTATCTCTAAGATGTTATATTTATGATGATAAGTTGTTGTTCAGCTCAGTTACTAACAGAATAAACAGAGACATCCTCAGCAGCTACATTTACATCTCATTTAAACACACATCTCTATTCCCTCTCACTCTGCTTCTCTCTTTCTCCTCTAATCCCTCTCTCTCTCTCACTCACAATAACTCTGACCACAGCTTTAACTCTGTATTCACATAAAACTGTGCTTTGGTCACCTCTCTCTCTCTCTCTCTCTCTCTCTCTCTCTCTCTCTCTCTCTCTCTCTCTCTCTCTCTCTGTCTCTTTTTTCTTTCTGTCTTTTGCCTTTCTCTTTCTCACGGCCCTGTTCTTCCTTTCCACCTCTTTCTACCTTTCTTCTCTCTCTCTCCCTTTCTTTCTCACTCTCTTGCTCGCTGTTTCTTTCTCTCTCACTCACTCTCCAGGCGGAGAACTTGTTGCTGGACGCTGATTCGAACATTAAGATAGCAGACTTTGGTTTCAGTAACGAGTTCACGTTGGGTAATAAACTGGACACGTTCTGTGGAAGCCCCCCGTACGCGGCCCCTGAGCTTTTTCAGGGGAAGAAGTATGACGGGCCAGAGGTGGACATCTGGAGCCTAGGGGTCATCCTCTACACGCTGGTCAGCGGCTCGCTGCCCTTCGATGGACAGAATCTAAAGGTGTGAGTCGCTCTCTTTTTTATTTCAGACCTTCCAGTAGTTACTTCTTTAGTTCCCTACTCACTTCTTTAGTTCCCTACTCACTTCTTTAGTTCTCTACTTACTTCTTCAGTTCCCTACACACTTCTTTAGTTCCCTACACACTTCTTCAGTTCCCTACACACTTCTTCAGTTCCCTACTCACTTCTTTAGTTCCCTACACACTTCTTTAGTTCTCTACTTACTTCTTCAGTTCCCTACACACTTCTTTAGTTCCCTACACACTTCTTCAGTTCCCTACACACTTCTTCAGTTCCCTACTCACTTCTTTAGTTCCCTACACACTTCTTTAGTTCTCTACTCACTTCTTTAGTTCTCTACTCACTTCTTTAGTTCTCTACTCACTTCTTCAGTTCCCTACACACTTCTTTAGTTCCCTACTAGTCACTTCTTTAGTTCCCTATGCACTTCTTTAGTTCCTTACATACTTCTTTAGTTCCCTATGCACTTCTTTAGTTCCCTACGCACTTCTTTAGTTCCCTACACACTTCTTTAGTTCTCTACTCACTTCTTTAGTTCTCTACTCACTTCTTTAGTTCCCTACTCACTTCTTTAGTTCCCTACTCACTTCTTTAGTTCTCTACTCACTTCTTTAGTTCCCTACTCACTTCTTTAGTTCCCTACACACTTCTTTAGTTCTCTACTCACTTCTTTAGTTCTCTACTCACTTCTTTAGTTCTCTACTCACTTCTTCAGTTCCCTACACACTTCTTTAGTTCCCTACTAGTCACTTCTTTAGTTCCCTATGCACTTCTTTAGTTCCTTACATACTTCTTTAGTTCCCTATGCACTTCTTTAGTTCCCTACGCACTTCTTTAGTTCCCTACACACTTCTTTAGTTCTCTACTCACTTCTTTAGTTCCCTATGCACTTCTTTAGTTCCCTACTCACTTCTTTAGTTCCCTACTCACTTCTTTAGTTCTCTACTCACTTCTTTAGTTCCCTACTCACTTCTTTAGTTCCCTACTCACTTCTTTAATTCCCTACTCACTGCAATAGATCCTTGTTCTCCTCTTCAGTTCCCTACTTACTTCTTTAGTTCCCTACTCACTACAATAGATCCTTGTTCTCCTCTTCAGTTCCCTACTTACTTCTTTAGTTCCCTACTCACTTCTTTAGTTCCCTACTCACTTCTTTAGTTCCCTACTCACTGCAATAGATCCTTGTTCTCCTCTTCAGTTCCCTACTCACTTCTTTAGTTCCCTACTCACTGCAATAGATCCTTGTTCTCCTCTTCAGTTCCCTACTCACTTCTTTAGTTCCCTACTCACTTCTTTAGTTCCCTACACACTTCTTTAGTTCCCTACTCACTTCTTTAGTTCTGTACTCATTTTAGTCACTCTCTACTCATGTCAAAGGTTCCCTACTCAATTATTTTATTCACACAGTTTCATAGTTCCCTACTTAGTTCCCTACTAGTCACGCCTTTACCTCCCCTCTCAAGTAAGGAGCTCTGTACTCACTTCATTAGTTTCATACTCACAACAGCAGCCATCTCCTCGCTTATTTAGTTCCTGAATCAATTCTTTAATTCCCTACTTACTTTAATAATTCCTACTTTGCTTCAATAGATCCCTACTTGCTTCAGTAGCTACCAACTCACCTCAGCAGATCCCTACTTATTTCAGTGGTTCCATACTCTATTCAGAAGCTCACTACAGTAGCTCCCTACTCTCTTTTTTAGCTCCCTACTACATTTTAGTGGTTCTGTTCTCACTTCACTATATCTGTACTTACTTCAGTGGTTCCCTACTCACTTTGGTTGTATACTACTTACTTCCTTAGTTCCCTACGCATGTCAGTAGTTCCTTACTTACTTTAGTAATTTCTCACTCACTTCAGTAGCTCCCTACTCACTTCAGTGGTTATCTACTTACTTCAGTGCTTCCCTACTCACTTCAGTGCTTCCCTACTTACTTATTTTCTTACTTACTTCAGTTGATCCCTTCTTACCTCAGTCATTCACTGATCACTTCAGTAGATCGCAACTTACTGTAGAGGTTCAGTAGATCTTTACTTACTTCAGTAGTAGCCCCCTGTTCACTTCAGTAGCACCCTACTTCCATTAAAGGCTCCCTACTTACTCACTTCAGTTGATCCCTACTTCAGTGATTCCCTAATAACTTCTGTGGCTCCCTACTCACCTCAGTTGATCCCTACTTACGTCTGTTGGTCTCTACGCAATTCAGTAGATTGCTACTTACTGTAGTGGTTCAGTAAATCTTTACTTCAGTAGTAGCTCCCTACTCATGTCAGTAGCACCCTACTTCCTTTAATAGCCCCCTACTCACTTCAGTGGTTCCCTGTTCACTTCAGTAGCTCCCTACTAATTTCAAAGACACTGTCCTTACTTTAGTAGCTGCCTTCTCACTTCAGCGGTTCCCTACTCACTTCAGTAGTTCGCTGATCACTTAAGTGGCTCCCTACTCACTTCATAGCTTACTACTTACTTCATTGGTTCCCTACTCTCTTCGGTAGCTCACTGCTTGTTTCAGTGTTTCCCTACTCACTTCATAGCTCACTATGTACTTCAGTGGTTTCCTGCTTTCTTCGTTGGTTCTTTACTCTCCTCAGTAGCTGTGTACTCTCGTATATCTATGCCATTGTCAGTACTCTGTGTTGTGTATTTCTTGATTTTGATATCTTTTGTGTGTGTGTGCTGTAGGAGCTGCGTGAGCGTGTGCTGAGGGGGAAATATCGAGTGCCCTTCTACATGTCCACTGACTGTGAGGGAATCCTGCGCAGGTTTCTGGTGCTCAACCCAAGCAAGCGCTGCACTTTGGAGGTACACAAACACACTAATAACGCCAGTGGACACAACACTGCGCACACACATGTACACCAAACACACACACACATAGAAATATACAGCCGTATGCAAAAATTTGAGCTTTCCTCTTCAAATGACTTCCAATTCTAATTGAAAACGAGTTCACACATCTTCTACATCCTCATTCTGTGCTAACTGCCTTTTCCCTTTGTGTTCCTCCGCAGCAAGTGATGAAGGATAAATGGATAAATGCAGGGTACGAGGGTGACGAGCTGAAGCCTCATGTGGAACCAGCTGAGGACTTCAGTGACCCCAGTCGCATTGGTGAGTTCACAGAGAGGCTACTAAGAGCACTATTAGCTGTTCCCAATTTTACAGGGCCTTTATTATTGGAAAACAGCCTATACCCAAAAATCCACCCCAGAGGAGTTGTGTATTTTTGGAAATTCCCCCTTTCCAAAGCGCTGTGGGATTAGAGTAGCATGTTTACAACAGATCCCTTTAATATTGACCAGTTGCATTGGCCAAACAATACATCGGTCTAGGTCTGTTTCTTCTGAATGGATTTGCACATGGAAAACAAACTCTTTTGTTTCTCTCTCCCTTTCTTAATCCTTCTCTATATTTATGTCTCTCTCTCTTTTTCTCTTTGTAGAGGTGATGGTTGGGATGGGTTTCACTACAGAGGAGATTAAGGACTCGTTACTCAGTCACAAATATGACGAAGTCACTGCTACTTACCTTCTGCTGGGCCTGAAGACTCAGGTTATACACAAATCCTCTCAGGCTTTCACTGACATACTGTTGCTGTTGCCCTAAAACCTTGTATCTGTATTTGTTTTGTTTTTTTTTTCTTTTTTATAATTTGAAAACTCCCCTTTACACTGTTAAAAATGTTGTGACCACCAAAAATGAAACAGAAAAATGTTTTTACATTAAGCTCCATTAAAAGGCTTAATGTTTTTTTTCTTCTGTAAAGTTACAGTTTTGGAGATTTTATTTTTTTTTCCCAACAGTAATGATATACTGAAGTATGAACATTTATGTCACATGTGCTAAACTCCACACTAGAGGGAAGTATATAGCGCATCCCTGCTGGAAAAACCTGCATAGACCATCACGGCTGATCACCACCAAAACCAGCATATATTGTGTTTTGGATGTTGGTATGCTGGTCAACCAGCATGATTGTGTTAGGTGACCAGCTAAACCAGCACCAGACCAGCACCACACCAGCATAAATCAGCTTAGACCCAGCACAGAGTGCATGCTGGCTTATGCTGTTTTTTTAGCAGGGTTCTATATAGCACTTTTCATTTTAGCTGTAATTTTCAGCGTTTTTAAACTTAGTGTTTCCTGCAGGAAGATAAGCTCTGGAATTGCAAACAATATGAAAAAATTACAGAAGCCTCTACCTACTGTTTGTCTCCAAATCAGGGTCTGTTTTCACACTAAGAAGAATCACCTTCACTGTTAGAGATCATGTTTCAAATGATGCAACCCGATCTTTGCATTGTGGTTCTGCATCTTTGCTACTTAGGAAAAACTCATGTGTTGTCATGGTTACAGGACGGCACAGAATCACGTGTGAGTGGCAGCATGACGTTGCCGAGAGTGAGGCCGAGCCCCATCACCAACGGAACGAACAAGCACTCCACAGGCGGCGCCGCCGCCTCTTCATCATCATCCTCCTCTTCCTCTCACAGCAAGACCCAGCGCAGCGCCTCCACTTACCACCGCCAGCGACGGCACAGCGACTTCTGTAAGAGACTGACTCTGTATAACTCAATGACACGCAAGAGACACCGGCCCCCTGAAGATGGATTAAAGCCTAGTCTCAGACTAAATTATTATGTTAATGATGATTCTCCACTGAAAATCAGTTTTGTCTAGGTTTTAGTTTAAAGTCAGTATGACAATAAAGAAATAAATTCAAATGCAAAGTTTAAACACCCCTGGTCAGTTTAAAATTTTGCAAATACAAAATTTCAATAAACAGAGTTTAACATATTCTTCTATGTCTTAAACTCAGCAAACAGATAGAAATGTAAAAACTATAAATATATAAAAACTTATAAAAATATAAATATAGAAATATAAAAAATAAATAAAACAAAAATAAGACTCTGCTCAATGTCCCTGACTCACGGCAACTTAGACTCTGCTGTCACGGCCTAGTCACGCTCTGCTACTACAGTAAGAGATGTCCTGGCTCATGGCCTATTCAAACGCTGCTACCACACTATGAAGTGTACCTGTGTGCCTAGTCAAACTCTGCTACCGCAGTAAGACGCGTCCCGGCTCACTGCCTAGTGAAACTTTGCTATCACAGTAAGAAGAGTCCCCACTCACAGCCTAGTCAAACTTCTAGTGCAGTAAGAGGCGTCCTGGCTCACGGCCTAGTCAAACTCTGTTACTGCAGTAAAAAGTGTCCTGGCTCATGGCCTAGTCAAACTCTTGTTACCGTGGTGAAAAGCGTCCTGGCTTGCAGCCTTGTCAAATTCCTTCTACCACAGTAAGAACTGTCCTGGCTTGAGGCCTAGCCAATTTTTTACCGCGGTGAAACGTGTGCTGGCTTGCGGCCCAGTCAAACTTCACTAAAACACTAAGAATTGTCCCAGCTCACGGCCCGGTCAAACTCTGCTACCATGATGGAAAGACTCTCAGCCGGTTCTCAGTTAATGATGGAAATCTCCCAAGCCAAAGGGAAATCGCAAAACAGATCACAACCAAATCACAAACAATACAATACAAACAAACATAAACTCGCTGTAAAGCGGCAGCTTAAATGTGCACAATGTTCTCACACAGAGACGTACATACACAAATGGCAGTTTAGTGAAAAATCAACATCTAAATTTACATTTATATAAGAATGTATTTGACATATTTGATGATTAGTTTTGCTCCAAAGCTACAAGACAAATCTCGTTAACTATCTCAGCCGATTAGCACTGAGTAAATTACAAGCCTAAAACACTGCACATTTTTCTCAATACACGTGGAGGTGTTATGTAATATCTAATCATCTTGCTTATGTGGTTTCTGACCCTGAATTACATATTGTTCTCTATAAAAATGGACAAAATTGTAGACAAACTCCTGGTATTAAGATGATTGCTATGACTGTTATTAGCTATATTAGCTGTATTCTTTTATTGATAACAGTAGGTCAGTTGGCTCAGGGCTAGTCTGTTTCTGTGATCAGTCCTTCATCTGTTAATGTACTTTTGTCAATGTGCTCTGTAAGTACTTGTTTTATGTATTTGATTGTACACGTAATCTTGCATCCAAGCACACCAAACTCGAAACTGTGTGTATCGTGCAGGTGGTCCAAGCATGCCGGTGATGCACCCTAAGCGTAGCCCGACGAGTGGGGGAGATCGTGAGCTGCGCGAGAGCCGGATGCCGCCTCGTAAGGCTAGTTGCAGTGTGATGGGCAGCCGCAGCCTGCCTCCGTCCAGCCCAATGGTCAGCAGTGCCAACAACCCCAACAAGGCAGAAATCCCAGAACGCCGCAAGGACATGACAGCTACTACTGTAAGAAAGGGCTGTAGAAAGGGGGAGAGGGGGAAAGGTGGGAGAGGAGATGGCGACAAAGCTTCTCAAAGTTAGCCAGAAAGCTAAATAGCTAAGCCAGCAAGCTAGCTAAAGAGTGTGTATGGTAGCTAAACATAAACGTTAGGTGAAAATCGGTTAGTGAAAACACACTGTGTGAGAGCAGGTGTGCTGAAGTTACATATTCATATTTGAACACAGCTAGATGTGTTTGTTCGCTAACTCGCTAACATTGAAGAAGCAGCTAAACTTATAAATACCTTTAACCTTTTTATTTTGAAGGCGCAGTTCATGCTAGCTAACATGGTAGGAGACATAGCTTATGCTTACCCTGAACGTAGCCCTTTTCAGAGTGCAGCACTTTTTCAGGATTAAGTATATTTTCCTATATATAGATCCCCCTGTCAATCCCACCGCCCCTGTGGGACAGACGCCTTATAGTAATTACAGAAGAATAATCATATAGTAAGTCTGTCGCTTAATGGATTGGCTGGGCCTTTTTTCCATAGCTAGCTCTTAGCTAAACCACGAAGCTTTAGCCTTGCACTGAAAACTGGAAGCTTTTCACTCGATCAGTCTTTTAGTTCAGTTAGCAACAAGCTCACCCAACAGGAGGTCATAATCAACATAAAACCGCAGTCACAAACCGACGCCTCGCTATTTTCTTCACAACGGTTGAGCAAAACTCAGGCGAGACCAGGCGGTACTGATATGAGGTGGTTTTGGAGGTGACTATAGCTCAGTAAACAGCTAGCATTAGCAGGCTAAGTAGTTGTTTTTGTAAGTAAGGAGTAACATTATGTTGACTGAGTTTCTCCATTTAGTATTTTTCAGAAAGAATGAGCCACATCTGTCCTTGTTTTCTTTTTATTTTTTTTCCAATTTTCTCCCTAATTTAGTCGTATCCAATTCCCACCACTAGTTATGACTCCCCCAGTCATACCACCAGCGCTAGGAGGGCGAAGGTTAGCACAGGCTACCTCTGAGACCTGTGAAGCGCCATCGCATCTTTTCAAACCACCCCTAACTCAGTCAGTGGACAGCCGAACGCGCTCAGAGGAAAGCACCAACCACCAGTTCTGTTACGTCAGCTAACAGACGCCTGCGCTGACTAGCATCGCACTGAGTGATGTGGGGAGACATGGGGGCCATCCTACCCACCCAGAGATAGCAATGCCAGTTGTGTTCTCTTGGACTCCTGGTTACAGAGGGCTGTAGAAGGGCCAACGCTTAGATCAGGGGTGTCAAACTCAACCACTAAAAGGGCCATATTAAAAAATCCTGACAAATCTGTTGACCAGCTGTGTTTTTATTTTATTTGTACTTAACAATTTGCCACAACCCCAACGGACCATTGTTTATTTAAAATATTCCAAAATTGCAACAACAAAAAAGCCATTGAATACTTTTCAAAAATAGTTTTAAATAAAAATAAATTGTTTTATATAAAACAATGGGCTACATTAGCTACAGATAACTGTTAAACCTATTTAAAAGTCCCCAGGAGGTGGAAATCTTTTCTTTTTGTGTAACTGCTGGCTTGAAGATGGTTGTTGGAGGAAGGTGGTTGGAGCACACATTATGTTGCAGTGCATGCTGGGGACTGTAGTGCAGCCCAGGGTGAAACGGGCTAATATAATAGAAAATTAAAATAATTTTGTGGGCTGAATAGGGTTATGCTACGGGCCTGACTTGGCCCTTGTGTTTGACACATGGGGCTTAGATGCCTGCACCACTCGGGAGCCCACCTTCTTGTTTTCTATTGGCTGATGCTTCCGAGGTTCGCTAATTCATGGGGTTAAAGTTGGCCTAGATGAACTCAGCGTGAAGCAAAATGAAACACTACAGAAAATGAATTCATTTTTCATGTTCTTACATTCTTTTCCATCCAAATTAATTTGTTTTTTCACCAGGCATATTTTTTGTGTCCATGGCTTGTTTTCGGTGGCCTTTAGGTGGCGCTATTCAGCAGAGTTTGCTTGCACTCATCAATTATTTTCTTTCTGTTTTATAAGGTTTATGTCTTTGTAACACCACTTTTGCGTGACCGTGTTAGGACCCCTGACCCCCAGGTTAAGAATCCCTGCCTTAATCCTTTTATTCGAATAGAGCAGTTTATGCCCACTGAAGGGTTGGGAGGAGGGGTGGGCGATATGGCAAAAATAGGACATCATGAAACATGAAGATATTTTCACGATACACAATACATATCACAGCATTTACTTTCTCTGAGGTTTAATAAGTTTAATGCCACTTTTTAAAAATATAATACCAAAAATAATAAGTACAATGACATTTATTCAGTGTTTCACACCAGATAAACATTAAACAGGTCTAATTATGTTCGCTTTGTAAGTTGGATCATGTTTATTAAGGGTTAATATCCACGATACACTCAGAAAAGATTATTGTGACATCATTTATCACAATAACGATAAAATACCATCGATGCAGCAACATATTAGTCAATAACTTTCATAACATTTCAATAGGCAGTTTATTCTCTGAATAGATTTAAATGTATCTGTCGTATCACCCACCTCTAGTTGGGAGACACTGGTCTAGAGAGAAAAAGGCACACAGTGCCACCTAGTGTATGGAAGGAGCCACTGTTTTAAGTTCCAGCCTTTGCTGCAAATATCAGATTGAATAGAATAATATTATCAATTTATCCAAAGTATATTAAACACATTATTTTGATATTTTGGGAGGCTTCATCTGTGGGCTTGTAATAATATTGTACTCTATTTATCTGATTTTAGTGTGTTCTTGTGTTAACATTGTTACTGTACTGTTACTGAATGTGCCACAAATGCTTAATGTACACGTATTTACTGTAAAGTGTCGCCTAATATATTCTCACTTGTGTTGATCTGATTTTGCTGTTGGAGACAAATAATAGAACATTAGTGCTGTGCATTTCTGACATGCTGGTGTGTGTGTGTGTGTGTGTGTGTGTGTGTGTGTGTGTGTGTGTTTAGAATAACATCCCTGGCAGTGCGATGACTCGTAGGAACACGTACGTATGTACGGATCGGCCCAGCACTGACCGGCACTCCCTACTGCAGAACGGGAAGGAGAACAGGTGAAACACACACAGCTCTGTTCAAAGCTTCTGTGACTATTTCAGGGACCAAATTCTCAAAGAACAGCGAATTAGTGCTTCAGAATGCAGAGTGAACATGATTACATGCTAATTGTTTTCTGGACATCATTAATTTTTTTTTCCCAGCAAATCTGCATAACCGCATAATCACATACTATAGAACGTCAACATCTGTCAGTTTTTACTTTTGACTAAAGCTTCTGTAGTTTTTGAGGCGTGCAGTGTGACGCAGTGTGACGCAGTGTGACATAAACTTTAGTGTGAGAGAAATTTGTAAGAATTTGCTTTAATCGATTAATCATCAGGAATCGACTGATCACACAGCGTCCCTCACTGTTATTACAATCACATATATTGAAACTGCATTGTTTTTTTTTTTCCCTGAATATTTTCACCACAATGCATAAAGTCAAATGGCAAGACAGGAGTTAATGCAGAAATCCCCTGTCCCATCTCTCTCTCTCTCACTCCCTCTGGCCCCATAGCTCTCTCTCCCACCGTCTCCCCCCCACCTCTCCCTCCACTCTCAGTATTGCGGGTGCTGGAGCGTCCTCCTCCTCCTCCTCAGGCGAGCGCTGCAGGCTGACTCGCGGCTCCACCATCCGCAGCACCTTCCACGGCGGTCAGCTGCGGGAGCGAGTGCCCGCCGCTTACGGACCGCCGCCCACCTCGCCCACGCTGGGCCACGAACCGGCCGCCCTCCCGCCGCACACGCGCTCCAGAGCCACGTCGAACCTGTTCACTAAACTCACCTCCAAACTCACCCGCAGGTACGAACACAGCTGTAGTAATAATATGTATTATTAGTTCTGCCGCAATCATTAGATAAGCGGTACATTTCAGTCTTATTGTGCTGCAACAAGCAAAACGAGTTGGGTTTCCTGGCTTGAGCCAAATAATCGGGTCATTCTCCATTTGGAGGGGAAAATCATGTCACAAAGGTTGCAGGGCTTAAAAAGTTGCTTAAAATATTAGCCATTATTAATATAACACAACATTTTAAGAGGTTTAGCTTAGACATTTATGTAAAACAGTTTTATTTTATCTTTTCTTATCTTTTTATATCATTAACGTTAATTACATTTGAAAATTATGTATTTTATTTTAAAAATTCACTTGTCACAGAGATTTTGGTCGCTGGTGTTATCAGGACTTATATTACATTTTAACACAGTATTTCCAGCTCTATTAATCTGCTTCTGTGGGTTGAGGCTCATCAGAGAGGAAGCAACTCAAGGCATAAGAAGGCGAATCCACATTTGTTCGCTATATTTCTTTAATTTAGTAATAATTTTGTTTATCAGGAAGCACATAATGTCGATGTGTCATTGGTGTTATGAGCTTTAATGGCTGGATAATTAAACTTTTGTCAATATAATGCCAAATATATTGTTTTTATTACTGATTTTAAATAGTTGCACAAGGTCACCTGAACATCAATGAGTCAGCCAATTTACAAAATCCTCAATTTTAACCAGAATGTCACTGGAGTCACAGTCAGTGGTGTTACACCATATTCATGCAACACCAGTGACTGTAAAATATGTCTGGAATTAAGCTTTCGTTTTTGCATATATGATAATAGGAGATGTTAATGGACATATTAAGATTATTTAGTTTGGGGATGAAAGAGGTTTTTTAAAAATGTATCCACCTGAATTTCCACTCCAAATGGAGAAAGACCTGAACGTAAATAAAAGAAAGTAGTTATATATATATATATATATATATATATATATATATATACACACACACACTCACACACTCACACATTATCCTTCTGGGTTGCGGGGGGAGCTGGAGCCTATCCCAGCGGTCAATGGACAGAAGGCAGGATACACCCTGGACAGCTCGCTAGTCCATCTCAGGGCAGACAGACAGAGAGACATGCACATTCACACATTTTTAGCATGTATGCAAGCAGAATTTTCACTCTCAAAAAATGAAACGAATGAGTTTGATCACGATTGTGTGTAATTGTAGACGTTTGTGTGAGCGTGCACACTTAACAGTGTAGCGTGTCAATGAGCTCCCGAGTGGCCAACCGTCTAAGCTTTGGCCCTGTTATCAGGAGATCCCGAGCTCGATCCCCGGTGATGCCACAGCTATCTGTAGCCAGGAGTCCAAGAGAGCACATCAGGGTGGGTAGGATGACCCTCCATCTCCCCATCACCCAGTGCAATGCTAGCCAGTGCAGGCGTCTGTTAGCTGATGTAACAGATCTGGCGGTCGGCACTTTCCTCAGACCGTGTTCGGCTGTCCAGTGACAGTCCAATGTCTGGTGTATCGTATCTTAACCAGTGTTAGTGACTTAGTAAATATAGCTAGGAGGCAAGTCAAGAGTAGAAATGCTGCTAGCATACATGCTAAAGGCATTAGAATTAGCAGCATATATTACTCATGCTGCCCTCTAGTGGCCACTCCAGCCACTTTACACTTGTACTTTCATAGTTGTGTCTCTGCTGAAAAAACTCATAGAAACCATTAAACCATGATGGTTTTGTAATGCGTTTTGGCTTTTTTGATGGGTTGATATCACAATTTAAAGGATCCTAATGGTTTAACAGGTGAACAGTGGCTGACTAAATGCATTTGATGGTTTCCTAATAGGATTTAAAGGTGTCCTACAGAAAACTAGTGGTCCCTTTTGGAAAGCATTAAGCCAACTCCCATTAGAAAGTGAATCCAAATGGTCTCTTTTCAGCAGAGATGGACAAGAAAAGAATTAAATTACAATTATTTATATGTTGTTTGTCAGTTAAAACTTCACAGTAATGAGAGATCATAAATACGTAATATATCGCTGCTTTTGGGACATTTTTGGGACATTTTTTCAGTTTTTGAGTTTAATTGAAAATGTCTGTTGCCCTTTACATTCTGTGTAAATTTTGTGATGGACGGACCAAAAGAAACGGCCAGAATTGCTTGGAAAAAAAGTCTGGTTACGTGGACTAAAAGTGAAGTTATCATTATGGACATTCAGTGTTTTGTATTGTAAATAAATGGATTTATGTGTAATAAATATTTTCTTAATTTTAATCTCAGGAGCCCAAAAGAAATTTCAGATTAAATATGTGAAATAAAAAACCTCTTTGCAGAGTCGGGAGCTCAGCTCTCTGCTGGTTCTGTAAGTCGGAACTGTTTTTCTTTAGTTTTTAGAATAACACACACGCACAAATACTGAACGCACCTCTGTCGTGTTTCCACCTTAAAGAACAACTTCACCCACAAATGCTAATGGATGCAAATGCAGTGGATGGAAGCTGAGGGGGGCCAGTTAGCATGATCGCTATTTGCAATCAGTGAACTCTAACTGGTCTTTCATAGCTTTGTACTGTATCCTCATTAATAGCAGTGTAAGTATAATCTGAGTGATGTTTATGATTACCCTCATGTTCCTGTAGGGGGCAGTAACGGCACTGCAGCGGTTACACAGAATAAACACTGCTGTCCACCTAAAGTCCTGCTTGCTTCTCTCTTGTTTTTTCTTTTCCTCACACTTTCTCTCCCTTTTTTTCTCCCTTTTCTTTCTCTCTTTCTCTCTCTCTCTCTCTCTTTTCCTTGCACTCTCTCTTTCCTCTTTTCGTTTTCCTTATTCTCTTTCTTTCTTTCTCTCTCTCTCTCATTGCTTTTTCCTTACTCTCTCTCATTTTTTTCTGTTTCTCTTTCGCTCTCTCTCTCTCTCTCCTTTTGTTCTTTTGCTTACACTTTCACTTTTCACTCCCTCTGTTATTCTTGTTCTCTTTCTAACTCTCTTGGGTGTCTCACTCCTTTTCCTTTATCCTTTTTCTTTGCATCTGTCATTCTCCTTCTCTTCTCTCTCCTTTTCTCTCTCTCTCTTACTCTTTTGCCCCGTCTCTCTCTCTCCCTCTCTCTCTCTCTCTCCTCTCTCTCTCTCTCTCCCACTCTCTCTCTCTCTCTCAGGGTCAATCTCGACCCCTCTAAGAGGCAGGGTTCTAATAAGTCAGTTTCGGGTTGCACTCTTCCGCAGGGATCCAAAACAGTTAGTAAGTTGCCGCGCCTGTCGTCCGTCTGCCATGTCTGCCTCCTTCTTTTCCTTCCTCTTCTCTTTCCTCTGCTCTCTCTGTGTTTGGTATGACGTTCACACAGGCTGTGTGTGTCTCTGCATGTGTTTGGGTTTGTATGTGTGTTTGTGTGCATGACAGAACTTCACTACGACGTTTTGATGAGTTCAATTTGTCTCACAATCCAGAACTATTAGCATGAAGTCTGGGCCTTGAGGTTTTTTAAAGGGCTCGAAAAAAGCAACTTTTCACGTCACCCCCTCATCCCAGATGTAGCTGATCAGCCAAGACATGTTGAGGAGTCTAAGGTTTGATTCTGTTGCCACTTAATAATGTCTCTAACAGAAAATACTCAGTAATCGTGAGTCCAAAATGAATGTGTTTCTATGGAGCTTTAATGCAAAATAATAATTTATAAATACTTAAAAAGTGCAGTTTTTCTTTGCTGTTGTATTTTTTTAGCGCTTCTAAACTTATAGGACTTTTTAATAAGGTTTAATGTTTATTCATGACATCAGTGAGCACCACTTCACTCAGTAGCAGTAATGCTAACCAGTCAGCTCTCAGTAGCAGGAATGCTAACCAATCAGCACTCAGTAGCAGTAATGATACCCAATCAGCACTCAGTAGCAGGAATGACAACCAATCAGCACTCAGTAGCAGGAATGACAACCAATCAGCACTCAGTAGCACTAATGCTAACCAGTCAGCGCTCAGTAGCAGGAGTGACAACTAGTCAGCACTCAGTAGCAATAATGCTCACCAATCAGCACTCAGTAGCAGTAATGACAACCAATCAGCACTCAGTAGCAGGAATGACAACCAATCAGCACTCAGTAGCAGGAATGACAACCAATCAGCACTCAGTAGCAATATTGCTCACCAATCAGCACTCAGTAGCAATAATGCTCACCAATCAGCACTCAGTAGCACTAATGCTAACCAATCAGCACTCAGTAGCAGGAATGTTAGCATCCTTTTGCCCAAAAAAGTTTATTTAACTAATGTAGCTAACAAGTAATCAAAGCTTATACCCCACCAATTAGCATCATACAACACTGCATGTCTGTCATCAAATTTGCCTGAAAACGTGTGTTGTTAAATTTAATAGACTTGCCGATGTGATTTGACACTGTATGAAATACTGTTAGCTATCCTTGAGCAGTTGACAGCTTCCCACAGCGCCAACTAGTGGATATATTAGTCGTCTGCTCACCCCTAGATGTGATCACTGGAGACCAGCTTTTATTTATCAGCTGATTTGTTTTGTTTGTCAGTTTTTCTGATAAAAACAAAGCCAGATTTACTGCAGTAATGAGGAAATATTCAGATTCCACTGTTCACTGTACTCATAGTTTTTGGTGCTGTTTTTAAAATGTGGCACTTCTGGTTCTTTTTTGTCTGTTTCTACTTAACAAACCTCAGAAAAACAAAATCTTGTGATGTATAATGTGTATCTTGATGCATTGTGATGCTATATTTTTGCCATTTTTCCCACCCCTGACTGAGATATGGACCCCTTATAATCCACAATCAACACAGAGTCAAAGCACGACATCTCCGTCATTCACATTCCAGTTCCATTACCTGCAGACCTGTAGTGTTTATGTTTGCACCGTGCTGCACGTTTGGGTTTGCTCTGGAGTGATGCTGTGTTGAGCTGGTTTGGTTGCGCGTCGTGTGGCATGGTCATTCCCCCGCTGTAGAGGTGTTCTGTCTGCTGAAACATGTGCTTTTATTTTCCAGGGTCACAAATGAACCTGAGAGAGTCGGCCGACCTTCGCTCTCAGGGTGAGCATCTACAACAAGCAAAAACAAACAGCATCAACAACAGCAAAAACAATGGTTTGGTAACCCTTACTTAACCATGTATTGCACATTGTTGCCTCAGGGCAACAAACTAATTTTTCCTCACTTTACAATAACATTATACATATTTAAAGACAATGACAGGATTAACAATAAAGGGAAGAGTTTGAGTAAGTCAGTAAAAAGCATGTACTTAGTCATACTGTCTCTTAGTGGGCATGTTTAAACCTCTTTTTTAACATTCGGTATCAATTTTTTTATGAGAATTTGCAGAAATATGTTTGTTGCCTAGAAGCAACATTATGTGACAGAGGAATGGACTTCACAGGCCAGTCACAAGCCAGATCTCACCACTTCAGGGAACATAGCTCTATATCATTTCTTTCCATTGTCACACAATGTTGCCTCAAGGCAACATACTTCTAAAGGACCCCTGCACACATTTTTAATTTATTTTTTTTTATATATATTTTTGAATTTAATAATGAGGTCTGAAAAAATAAATCAAGGACCATTTCAAATCAACTCCTCTTTAAAAAGCCAGTGAAGAGATGTCCGATCAAATCAACTCCTCTCATCCCCTTTAAAAAGCCCAGTGATGTCCAATCAAATCATCTCCTCTCATTCCCTTTAAAAAGCTAAAGCAGACATCCAATCAAATCAACACGTTTGTTTAGACATCAACAAATGACAAACATGAAGTTTGTTCATCACTGTCCTTATTTGTCTCTCTCTCTCTCTCTCTCTCTCTCTCTCTCTCTCTCTTTCCCTCTTTCCCTCTCTCTCTCTCTCTCCCTCTCTCTCTCTCTCTCTCTCTCTCTCTCTCTCTCTCTCTCCCTCTCTCTCTCTCTCTCTCTCTCTCCCTCTCTCTCCCTCCCTCAGTGGCCATCTATCTGGGGATCAGAAAGAGGCCGAGCCCTGGCCCGGGGGAGGGGGGTGGTGGGGGGATGTGAGGCTCCGCCCCTCCAGGCCCCCCCGCCCCCCCGCTCAGGTGGTGCTGGCCGTGCGCGAGGCGGCGCGGGGGTGTGGCTGCCAGGTGAGCCACGCCGGGCCCTTCCTGCTGCGCTGCAGCCACGAGGCGTCGGGGTCGAAGGTCGCCTTCCAGGCCGAGGTGTGTCAGCTGACCCTGGGCTCGGCCGAGACCAACGGCGTGCGCTACACGCGCCTGTGGGGGGCGCCGCTCGCTTTCAGACACATCGCCTCGCAAATCTCCAGAGAGGTGGAGCTTTGAGGGGAGGGGCCTAGCTTGGAGCGGGACACGCCCCCTCTTTCTCTCTGTTGTCATGACAAACAGACTTGGCCCCACCCACCTCTTGTTGCGTAGACTGCTCCCTTCTCCAGCTGATACACACAGACACACTAGGGCTGCACAATATGGACGAAAAGAAAACCATATTGCAGTTATATTGCCACGTTATGCAGTGGCGATACGTCATACACTGCAAACCCTTGACCACTAAAGGATGACCTTTATTAATTTAGACTAAAATAATCCTTTTAGACTAAAACGGACATCTGTGATTGGCAGTAAAACACAGTAAAAAAGTAGCGATAGTCTCATTCGCATATCATTGCTTTCTACGGTATCAGTATTGCAAAGGCCGATATCACGATAACGATTAGCAAATATATTGCGCAGCCCTAACACACACACACACACACACACTCACACACGCACACACACACACACACACACTCACACACGCACACACACTCACACACACACACACACACACACACACTTCTCCTTGAAACAACCTCATCCACAGGACCTGGATTGATTCCAGAGTAGTATTTTTATTCTTGTTCTACTCATGAAATTCCTAATTCTGTTATTCACGTCATTCATTTTCTTTCTACTATTTTGTATGTTTTCTTGCTGTTTTTAAGGGGTCACTTTTTTGTTTTTGTATTGTTTCGCGTGTTTCAGGTTGAGTCCGAGACGTCATGTAGATCTTTATCTATCTGAGAGCGATGTGCAAAAATATGTACTCATATCAAATCACTCAACCCCCCTCATACCTCCCACTCACGCCTTCTAAACACTCAGCTGAAGTCCTGTGGTCAACAGATTTCAGATCGAAGACCAAACAATCACAGACTAATGTTAAAACTACAGGTCACATCAGATCTGTCTGTGCTCTGATGATACCGATAACTGTTAAAGCATCTGCCCATTGGCTTCTATTATAAATGCAATAGATCAATACAGTGTGTATACATACATAAAGCAGGATTTCTTGGTTTAGCTAGATAATCTAAGCCAAACGTCGAGTGCGTTCAGTAGGAAAGGGACACTCTGATTGGACAATCCTCACTTTTGCAGCTTACTTAGAAATCCTGCTTTGTGTAATCCAGCAAATCTGGCCTTTGTAGAGCAAATCGGGAATCATTTCTATGTAGCAGTTCAAGTAGCAGCGACAAAAAAGCAAATTTGAAAATATTGAAACCACTTCTATTTCCTTCTGTTCTAACGCAGACTGTGATGGGTTCATTCTTCACTTTCAGAGCGTCACCCCCACATATTACTTCCTAATTTCCTGGGAATTACCTCTCCACTTATTTCCTTTTGTCCAATCCGAGTAGAGCTGAGTGTTGTCACAGGAATTGAAGCTGTCCCTGTGATTTGAAGCACCATCATATGTGCTTGGCTTTTGAAAGGGGATACAGCCAGACTGTTAGACACAAACAATGGAAGATGAGGCATTAAGGCTGCACGATTTCGATAAAATACAGGTATTACGATTCTGTTGCTACATATTACGACTGCGATACAGCTTAAAACACACTAAACACACACTGGTCTGCATTATTTTGAACTTTTGTTGGATAATGTGAAAACCTTGATTCATGAAAACACCCACAGAAACTCATCTGGGGCTGTGATTGGTCAGGAGGCTCACAGCACTCAATAAAAAAAATAATTTGATTGGTTAGAGCACCATTTGCATATTGACGTCTTCTGCAATAGGCCAGTTTCATAATATGTATTTCCAAAGGATATATTATGCAGTCCTGATCAGTATTTTGAAGGTTCTTCTGTCAGTGTTTCAGAGTCTAAATCTTTGCAGAACTCAGCACTGCAGTTCAGTATTTCCAAGTCGCTAACAAAAAGTTAGCCTCGTGGGGCCAAATGAGGAACTCATAACAAGAATACCCATCTAGGAACAACTTATTCAGCTTTTGGTGCTGTATTGTGCCACAAACAGGGCTACGCCCCCCGTAAAACCCCCCACAAATCCCTCTAGTCTGTGCTCTTAACGTCCAGAGAAATGAGTAGGACAAGCAAATCAAGCTAGCTAGTGAAACACTAGCTTACGGAGCTGCCATAAGAGGTATTCATTTCAGCCTAACAGTGCTGATGAGGCTCAGGCATCAAGCTCCGCCTTCGCAAGGCGTTTTGATTGGTTTTGAAATTTTACTCAGTTTGTTTTGACCTGAATACGTTAAGTGGATAAAATCAGCTGAATTGCAGACATAATTTCCAGGTGACAGTGGGAATATCACTCACCACAGCTAAGGGGAGCGTACCAAAGTGTTGAGTACATATTTCAAATAGTCATTTTCATATAGCAAATTAAATAACCACAGAAAGTGATAAGCTTCCTCCTTCCTTTGCAAATGGTGCTTATAACCAAGCTTATAGACTGTCTTTACTGTCCTTTATTTCAGCACTGAAGATAGCTAATGCTAGCTAACTCTGCCTGCTGGTTTGTGCTGTTGCGAGTGAATGGCTAGCCTTCTTCTCTAGAGAGTTAGGCCCAATCCCATTTCACCCCTCACGCCTACCACTTAGCCCTAACCTTCCGTTTTGTGCATTCACACATCGAGGTAAGGTGTCCCGTTTCCTGTTGGGATAGAGGTGTAGGGTGAAGTGTTAGGGCTACATGGCCCTCCAAACGGAGGTTTTTCAGAGGCACACTCCAAACACAAATCAATAAACGCATTGCATTGCATGTAACAAATAGGCTCATCAAACATTCATCCAAAGCCATTAATGTTAGACATGCTAGCTAGCGTGTTGTGTAGCTAGGCTAACTATAGCAGAACTTGTTTGCAGTCTGTCCTTCATACCGCAAACCAATCCACCAGCATTCCCGGGCATTGAAGGCATCTTTGTTCCGATTTGCCGCAGACAACCGCAAAAGGACGCCTACTGGCAGATTAGAAATGTCTGGCAAAACTTGTCGAATCTTTATGAATCGAAGTTTATGTAGAAGTCATCAACGACTACTGATGATGTGTCGGGTTCTTTTTTAATGTATGTATATATATTCCGGATTTTTTCCAGTTTTCTCCTCAATTTAGGGGCAATTGTGCTCTTTAGGCCACGAATGGCTGTAGCATCACTGGGGATCGAACTTGTGATCTCCTGATGAGAGGGCCCACACTAAGATGGTTGCACCAGTCTGGAGCCCCCATGTGTCGGGGAAGGTTTCAACCTCTACCCCTTGTAACTCAGTTCCAAGAGGCAAGATGACACTCAAAAACAAAGGGACGGGGTAAAAATATGAAACAGGATCGGGCCTAAAAGGCACATAGCACCACCTAGTGTACTGAAGTGACATCTGTTCAAAGTTCTATATGGAAGAGCAGCTTAATGATTTTAGAGAAAATACCTCAAACGTGCAGCCAAAAAATGTCTAAAAAAAGGTTCAGTATTGATCGTTATGGTTTCTATTTTACCACCCAGCAGTTGAGTTGTGGTGCCAGTGGTCTCCGGTAGTCCACTTCTATAATGAAATTAATAAGTGCTAAAGTAAGTTAGTTAAACATTGACAAAGGAACACATCACATTTAAAAGTAAAAAAGGATGAAGCCCACCCATCCTAGTGACACCACTCAGCTCAACCTAAACAATGTGCTTTATAGGAGCCCCTCCTTCACTCCTTCTATCGCTTCATCCACCTCTCTGTTTGTTTTCCACATCTGTTTTCCCCGTATATTCGGTTTGTGAAAAGAAAAAGAGGAACAAAAAAGAAAAAAAAACCCTCCCGGTCGTGAGCGTTCACCCGCTGAATCATGGGAAACTCCTCGTCTCATCGTTTCGTCTGCTCCGTGATCGGACTCCTGTAGCGGAGACGCTTCCTGTTCTCAAACGCCGAGCAGCGCGTGTGTGGAAGACGAGTGCGGGTACGGTCAAGGTCCCGTCGGATCTGGACAGCTGGACCGCGTGTTTAAACGAAAAAAAAAAAACAACAAAACAAAAAAGAAAACGTATGTTTAGACCTCCATGCACTCGCTTTGACTTGAATCAGCTGCATCCTATGGCTACTTTTGGGTAATACCCGAATCCTGCCACCGGAGGGCACTAATGTCTTAAATGTGAACACTTCAATTTGTGGATATTTGCACAGGTACTTAATTTATTTTCTAGGATAATTATCTTGGGAGAGAAAAAAAAAAACACATGATTTATATCAGTCAGACTCTGACTGCATATAAAGATGAAGATGATGATGATGATAATGATAATAATATGACTATAGTATTTATCTTAGAACCTCCAGGTTAATTTCTAGCTAGTGCAGAAATACTCTGCTAGCTCTCCAGAACCTTCTATGTGTGGTGAAGACAAACAGTAACCTGCAGTCATGCATGACACCGAAAGAGAGGGGAAGAAGAAGAAAGGACGAGCGAGAGGTCATTACAGAGAGAGAGAGAGAGAGAGTATGGCTCAGTTTCTCCGGGTTTCGCAAATGCAGATGAACAGTGTTAGTGGGTGGAGTCCATGTGTCTGAGTGCGTCTATGACCTCATTCACACCTGGTCATTTCATGTGTATCATAACTGGATAGGGAATAAAAATGCAGGTGTGAACACAGCCATTTAAAACCGATTCAAATCTGGGCCCTCTGACCACTTCAGGAGACACAGCAGTATAAATGCATCTTTCTCTTCAAGCCATATTCGACAACCAAAACCCCTCCCACTGCTGTGACTCCTCCTTCTGCTGTTCTGCATATGGAGTAGACTCCGCCCACTGGACGTCCATCATTAATAAAAGGCTTCACTACTTCTTCAGTTCAGCTCTTGGATTTTCCTAAAGCTACACACTTAAAAATGGTTCTTCAAGGATTTTTCAGTAAAGAAAATGGTTCTATATGGAACCATGAACACTCAGAGAACCCCTTGCATAATTAAACGGTTCTATATAGCACCAAAAGGGTTCTTCTATTGTTACAGGCTTGACATTGTCACAATACAAGAACCCTTTTCAAAAAGGTCCTATATGCAGAACAATCTACAGCACATTGTCTATCAACCTGAAGAACAATGTCACCATGCAAAGAACCCTTTAACCATGTAAAGGGTTCTCTGATTGTTCATGATTCCATATAGAACCATTTTCTTTATTGAAGAACCATCAATTTTAAATGTGAAACCCTATATTTATGCATTATTTCAACAGAACAGTCAATGAGGAACAACACAGGTGATTGGTTGTTGTATATGAGCTGATTTGCATATTACACAGCATGTGAAACTCTGAAGTTGTGCTGTCATTCTGTAGTATTATGGAGAATCAGGAAACTCATGTAAGCACATGACTGTAAAATGAAAATGACCTGCACTAAAAACAAATTGCCTTGTGGTGGACGAAACAAATCCAATATGTTTTGCGATACATCCTCCGTTTACTTTCCGAACGTCACCAGACGCTCTGAATGACGACGTCGTTAAGGAGCCAAAATAGAGCTGTTGATACACGAAAGCTAACATAAGCCAACATGCATGGAATTAAGACTGGCAGCCTCAGCAAAATACCCCAAACAAACCAGCAAGTGTGTTAAGTAGCATTAGCAGTAGTAGCTCATAGATTCAGAGGCTGGTGTTGCATAACAATGTTTAAGTTACTTTTATGCGCTGGAGTGTTGGCTTGCCTGCAACGAAGAGTCATATGCAAGTTTGAACAGCCTCGGTCAAATGATATGTTTTGTTAGTTTGTGAAGTTTAAATATGTTGATAAGTTGTTTACAGAGAGCAAACTCAAATATAGCATTTTCAAATTTTAGTGCAGTTAGTTTGTTTCACATTTTGTTTTCCCAAAATATTAAATTTGAATAAATTAGCAGTAATTTTGTATTAAAAAGTGCAGACCTGTGTTCTTTGTAGACGTGTTCACTCATTCTCACGTTATTTGACCGGGGCGCCCAAACTTTTGCATATAACATTTATATTTTTACTGCTAAACGACTTTGTAATCCAGAGCATAGAATTGCATTCTGGGGAAACAATTGTACGTAGGATACATTTTTAGTTTACTCTAGTGCTGATTTTTGAAAATGCTGTTAATTTTTCCCATAAACAGTTTCCAATTGGAATTCCTTATATGGGCATAATTCCGACGACAGGAAGACACACAACAGCTGAGGTGTGTAGCAGTTGGACTTGACTGACCGGAGGCACATTTAAGTGTAAATGTAGTTAAAATCTTACCAGGTCACAGTCCAGACACACAGCACATGAAATGGCCGAGTGTTAACGGGGTCTTTGTGTGAGTAAGTGAGTAAATGTGTGTGTACAGACGGGGATATGAGTGAGGGGGCGGTGGTCCGTTGCTCTGAAAAGCAACACACTGCTCTAGCGCGTACGCGTGCTATGAAGGCATGGTGTTTCTCATAAAGCATTACTCTAATATGCAATATGACAGGAGAACGCAGCAGACATACAGTCAGGCAGGAAAGATGGATGAGAATTTGTTTTGTGTTTTTGTTCCCCAGAAGTCTGTGCACCTCTGGCCAAGCAAGAGAAATGGAAACAAAAGATCTGGAGAGAAATAAAACTTCACTGATGTTGAAATCGTCCTCCGTGTGCTCTTCTTAAGCTGCAGATGTACGGCTGTATGCAAAAGTTTGAACACCACTGGCCAAATGACATGTTTGTTGATTGAGTTCTAGGCAGCTTCTGCCTGTAGCTAGAAGGCCAGACCCCCCCATAGCTGTAGTAGGACCAATGTAGGACTGAGGAACAGGGAGAAGATCGGGTGGCAGTAGAGGTGGGCAATCCAGGTCCAAAAAGTCAAAACCCTCCCCAGGATTTTGTTCCAACTGCTTGACTTCTCTAATTTTCTCAAACCAGCAGCAAAGGTGTTCAGGCAGTTGGAACAAAATCCTGGGGAGGGTTTTTACTTTTTGGACCTGGATTACCCACCTCTAGGTGGCAGTGGGGAACTCTTTGTCATGGGAACAGAAGGTAAGGATGCAAATTTATAGGGCGTTAAATTGGAAGAAGGAGAGGTTTCAGGGATGTTACTCCCCCCAAAACTTCAGCTATAACATAACTACATTAGGTGGTGCAGTGCTTAGTTGCAAACCAGGTCTTTGAAGCCAGGAACCTCCTATGCAGCACTCAAGCTCTTGTGAAAAACCTAGTCAGTGGTCTTACAGGGGAAAAATACAGGGGGTGTCTAGTACTAGAACTGAGAACCACTACTTGCCCCAGCTGTTCATGTTTCTACCAGCTCGCTCAAACATACCAAGACAACAGAAGAGCCGTGGGTGTGTATTTCATGGGGTACACTTTTATTGAATCACAGTTTGATTGACTTTTTACAACCAAAGTTCAAATTGAGGTGAAACGCTAGGCTTTTCCCGCCTGCGCCAGGAATCTGATCCCAAGATGTCACTGACCGAACAGCGGACGAAAAAAAAAGAGGGGGAAATGCTGGAAAAAGAGAAAGAGGAAAAGAAAAACAAAGAAAAAGGAGAAAACGACAGAAGCAAGACTGAAGCAGAGTCTCTCATCATGCAGCATCATGCTGCCCGATCGCACGACGGATGGATGGTTGGATGGATGTAAAAAAGAAGAAGAAGAAAAGCAAGGAAAGAAAAGGAGGAAAAAAAAGGAAAGTTTCCCTCTTTACTTCTGGGCAGGGATCAGGCTGTCGATGGCCTCGCCCTTCTCCAGCTTCTTCTCCATCTCAATCATGAGCTTGACGCCATCCACCACGCACTGCACCTGCTCCACCTCTGAGCTGCCGAGACGGTCAGCGTTGGAGATATCGAAAACGCCACCCACGGAGGCAGTGTCCACACCACCTGAGGAGGAGTAGGAGGAGGGGAAGGGGAAGACAGAGAGAGAGAAGTGTTTACCAGCATGTTCAGACGGTGCTCGTCGGCTCATCGGGTCTTAAGATTTTCATTGGTAGCTGGTAAACATATCATGTGAGGGACACATAACACAGTAACACGTTTGGAATCACTGTTTGAAATACTACAGAACCAGGTACGAGTATAAACCCTGCACAAAAAACAGCGTAGATGAGGATGAATTCCATGAATTAGGTGGTTTATGCTTGTCACCCAGCATGTTCATACTGGTTGACCAGAATACCAGCATCCAAAACACAACACATCACTGTTGTCAGAAGAAAACCTGGTATGTCCATTTTTGTTGTTTTTCAGTTTTTATCATAATTTGAAAGCGTCTGTTGCCCTTTATATTGTACGTGAATTTCATGATGAATGGACCAAAAGAAACGGCCCAAAATTACTTGGAGAAATTCTGGTTCCATTGACTTACATTAAAAGTAAAGTAGGTTTTTTCCTTCTCCTGTAAAGTTACCATTTTGGAGATACAAGGTTTTTTCCTGACAACAGCGATATGCTGGTTTTGCTGCTGACCAGCTTTGTTGCTCTATGCTGGTTATCTAGAAGGGAAGTGACTGTAATATGGTGCTAATATTCTACAGTTTTTGAACAAAAATACAAAAAATGCCAATAAAGAACGGAGCTGTAGATGATTCTTTTTTCATTCTAAAAGCTGTACAGTGTCGAGAATGAACTTCCATTATAGCTTATATTGGAAAAGCAGTAACCAAATGTCACTGATCAAACAGCTATTCATAGATTTTCTGTTTGATCTACATTTCTCTCATTGATCTACACTATCCACAAGTTATTATTCATTAATGATTATTAATATTAATGAGACCAAACTTTTGAACAGTAGTGTATGTGCTGGGATGGTCCAATAGCATCACTTACTGCAAAAAGACAGCTTGAACTACTTTGTTCATGTTCATTAGAGAATACCTGCTAACACAGAACTTGAGTTGTTTGATGCAACTTCCTTTTTTTGGTAAACTAGGAAATTTGCAGGTTTCCATTTTTATCCAAACCCACCATAAGAACAATATGAATTCAGACAATCATTGTCAAATCATAACATCACCAAATCGTAGCATTTTGCGTTTGGGTGGTCAGCAACACCTGGTACGTGTTGTTTACACCAACAGTGTCACACGACTGCGTGTTGAGTCTAGTATGTGTGTGTATGTGGACGTGCCTGTGCCACGCTTCTGCAGGCGCAGTCTGGTCAGGATCTCCTCAAATTTGGGGTGCTCGCTGAGCTTGGGCAGTTTGACGTGGACGCCACCACGCAGGCCAGTGCCCAGGTTGGAGGGGCAGGTGAGGATGTAGCCCAAGTGCTCGTTCCACATGAAGCCATGGTTGTGCTTCTTGAAAATCTCCTCAATCTGATGTTGGGGGGGAAAAACAGCAAGAATGAAGCCAGATTTCTCAGGCCTGAGGATCATGTAGAGGTTTGAATCTTAGCTGGAAGTCCATATCAGATGAAGATTCAAATAAAATCTAGAAACAAATCCTAGTTTAATGGAACAGGGTAGCTTCCAAGTTTGCCAGTTTTGATTGGAAGTATCTTTGCAGATAAGCGTGTAGGTGCTTGTGTGCTTCATACCCTGTTCAGGCCGACGCAGAAGCGCCTGAAGACCTCTTTCATGTTGCCACCCTTCTGCATGGAGATGACGCGGAGATGGTCCTCCTCATTCACCCAGACCAGGAAGGTCTTGTTCTCATTGTGCCTGGAGGAATTGGAGAACAACAGAATGAGTGTCCCAAATCACATCTAGGAAGACCCCGCAGGTTTATATGTCCCAAATCACACAAACAGAGATCACCCAAAGGTAGACCAGCGGTCCTCAAACTCAAAGTTCTCAGTCCTTCTTAATTTCGCCAGTTTATTAAATCTAATTCTGTAGGACTCGAGACCCTCCGATCTATGAGTGATATAGCATAAGATATACGCTTACATATTATAAGATATATGATATATATTATAAGATAAGCCAATCAGCTTGCCGGTTAAGCCACAGGTGAGAAAAGCTCCACCTTGTGGAGAAAAATCTGTTTTTGTGCATTATTTGAGCCAAATGGTACAAACTATACATCGCTGATGTCAGAACAAAACCTTTTACCTCCTTTCAGTTTTTCAAAATGCCTGTTGTCCTTTACATAGTGTGTAAATGTTTTTATGACGAATGGACCAAAAGAAATGGAACAAAATGACTTGGAAAAAATCTGGTTCCACTGACTTTAAAAGTAAAGTATGTTTTTCTCCTGTAAAGTTATCATTTTAGAGGTACGAGGTTTTCAACAGCAGCGTTTTTGTTGGATTTTATCAGTGATGTCAAATTGGTTTGTAAGCCCAAACATTATTATGGCTTTTACTTTGGGGTTTATAGGCAAAGACACAGGACTCTGGTCTGGTATGAGTGGATACAGCTGCCTATGGGCATAGCTAAGATGGCCATCAAGTGGACTTTTCTACAAGGACTTTAGGTGAAAAAGTTCAACAGATATAAACTTCATGCAAACGAGTCCATCCACTGCACTGTGTTTAGCGAGTCAAGAGTAGGCCGGTCTCTGAAAGTACACACGGCAGCTCTCTTTCTCGTCTTACGAAGCGCATCAGTTTTACATAATAGTAACAACACTGTTCCTCTACAGAACTGTTTACTGGAAAGATTTGGAGGGAAGATGTTCATTTGGATGGTTTGAGCGAAAAGGCAAAAATGTAAATCATATGGTGCTCGTAGGTACGTCGAATCGAGCCTGCTAATGAAAGCGAGCGAGTTAACTTTCTTGCTTGTGTGGACAACTGATGCATTCTGAAAACAATAAAGGCGTAGGAGGAATAAGTCTGTAGCTTAGTCTTATTGTAAACCTCTGTGCAACAGTTAACAGCATATCAGATTGTTTACTGCCCCAGATATTTTCAATATGGTTTCTTTACTCCATGACTGCAAGAAAAAGGGGGCTTGTACCGTTAGACCTTATATTGGAAGCAAGCTCTTTTTCTGCTCAACCTGTATTCATGCTTCATATCTGTATTCACGTATATAGTGCATGCTACCTTATTCTCCGTCACGCATTCTACAATTCACACTTTATTCCTCATCAGCCATCTTATGCATTATCCCTAATTACCGGCGGGGTGTGTCTGTGGAGGGGGGGTGTTAGTGATTGTGGGGCTCTGGGAAAAAGACAGAAATGGGGCCTTCTGACCGCACATTTTTGAATTGGTGAAGCAACTGTCTACACTACAATTACTTTCTTGAGTAATTACCCCAAAACTGGAGCTATGCATGGTCTGCTGGGCTTGTGCATCACTCACACTGAGAAAACATTAAAAAGTTAGCTTTAGAGAGTAACGACAAACTTTTTGCTTCTTATTTATGCATTTAGATTTTCCCTCTCAACACCCAAAAAAATCACACTGCAGAAGCTCCTCTCCATAATGTAGATTATCGATTAATTGCCTTGTTCATACTGGTCTTTACGCAGTTGTGTCATCATGTAACAACATGGACTAGTCCATTATAACCAGGAGTGGGTGAGGCTGCATTGAAAGTACTGAAAACAATCAACAGAATAGCAAAAACGTCTATTTCATAATGTACATATATGTTTCAGAATAGGTATTATTAATGAGCCCCTAGATGGCTGCTCCCCTGAGCCGACAGTACATGACTGAGGTGCCCTTGAGTAAGGCACCTAACCCCCAACTGCTCCACCGGGCACCGTGGATAGGGCTGCCCACCTCTCCGGGCAAGTGTGCTCACTGCCCCCTAGTGTGTGTTCACTAGTGTGTACGTGGTGTTTCACTGCATGGACGGGTTAGATTGTGGAGGTGAAATTTCCCTGTTGTGGGACTAACAAGGGTCACTTAATTCTCTCACTCACCAGATGCCCCTGGCATCAGGCCAGTCACGGGCCATACCAGCGGCCAGCAGCAGAGGGGAGACGGGCTTGTCAAAGAGGAAGTGGTCAGCAATCAGCTGCTCCTGTTCGGCATCAGTCATGGACTTCAGAGGGTAGTACTTGCCCTTGAACTCGCCATCCAGGCTGTTCAGAGCTAGATAAAAAATACACCATGTTATTTTGCTTGTACGCTGATTTTGGTACATTACTATGGAGGGACCATTCTACCAAACTGCAGTCCCATACTGAAAATTATTTAGAAAAACAATCAGGTATTCAGAGATTAGACATTTACATGGATTATGTTATGATCTATTTAAACAATAGATTATTGAGATACTAACAGCTGCATATATACTAAATCACCATTTGTATGGTACTTTCTATTGGGAGGTGTGTGTCCCAAACCTAAACCTCTACATTTACATTTTTGAAAGTAATCCTTGTTGTTCCACGTTTTCATGTCATTACTGAAACACAAAGAGTTTTAGTCTGTAGGCGGAGCCTTATTTTAGCCACAGCCCTGCGTTTAAGAGCAAGAAGTGAGTCTGCATCCCTGCCCCTGATGGCCACATGGTGAGCAGTTAGATCCCATTGTGTTGAAGTAAATGTGTCCTGAAAATCAGTGTGGAACATTAAAAATTGTCACTACTGAAACACATTTTTTGCAATTAAACCTTTTGTGTTTTAGTGAAAAATATTATGACTTTTTATGTTTATGTTTTTTTTTTTTTCAATTAGCTAAAATCATCACTACCGAAGCAAAACATTTGGTAGTGTTATGATTGTTTCAGTAGTGACAAAATGTAGCATAACCAACAACCAATAATCAAGTAATGCATTGTAGCATTGGAACGTCATGAGTCTTTAAAGACTCACCTTCAACGGAAAGCTTCTCCACAGCTCTGCGCTCTCCACGGGTGTTGTGGGGGGGCAGGGCGTATCCCTTAATGCTGCGGCCAGTACGCACACGGCTGCTCAGAACGTAGTTGGGGTCCAGGTCATCACCACCCTGTGAAGAGCCGGGGGTGATATACTCAAACATCCTTTATGTAAACTAGAGCATTGAAACAAGTTAAACCGGCACTGAAATCCATTGGTAGTTTATATATGTTTAGTATTTACTCTATTCAAATTATAAGGAATTGAGTTTAGTTGATAAGTTGAATAAGATCAATAAGCCAAAAGTTTGGCCACCCCTGGTCAAATGACGTTTTACAGGTGAAAATTAGTTAACACGTCCTCTACAGAGAATGAATTTTTAAAGACGTTTATTTGCTGAATTCAGCATTTTTGGAAAAAAATAAAATACAAAATGTGGCCTGTGCAAACTTTTATGACACATTTTATACTTTTTTTGAAAACATTTTCCAACATGGCAAACCAATAAGTAGAAACTGAACATGTCATTCGACTGGGGGTCCTCAGCTGTAATATCGCCAAAAGTGTGGCTTGGTTAAGTTTGCATTTATCTTGTACAGCTGACTAACCTTCAGGTTCTCGAAGTTCAGGTCAGTCCTGTGCTTGTCAGTGGCCTTGTATCCACCATGGCGGTCGGAGATGACTGGGTCCAAGAGGTCCTTGAACACTTCATAGGATTCCTCATCACCAGCAACACAGCCGACAGTCATGATGAAGGGGTGACCTGGGGGGAAGAAGGTCTAGATACATTACACCGGTCAGAGTACAGATACATTCAGATCTCTTAACTTGAGAAATGAAGGTAAGGAGGTGTCCAGAACAAGTTCTTCTTTTGAACTATGCTGAAGCTGCTATATTGTGTGCAGTAACATTTTAGTAGGGCTCAAGTGAATCTTACAAACCCAAGTTCTTTGGTTGCCCCACACTGATATTTGCCAGAATCGCTGCTTGTACAAAGCAGGGTGACAGGTTTCCAGCTGTCTGGAGGTCAATCTCTATCTTTACTTACCAGGGTTATCAACACCAGTCTGAATGACATCGTCCAGGGTGAAGCCAGTGGGGGTCTGCTTGTCTCTCAGCTTGGTGTAGACTTCCTTGGTCAGTGCCTTGGCCATGTGGTTGTTGTGCTTGGTAAGGTCTGGATACTCATCATCAGCTGAGAAGTTCAGCTTGAAGTTGTTGTGGGTGTTTCCGAAAGGCATGGTTGCGTTTCTGACACTGTAGAAGAGATTAGAGCGAACAAGTAAATTATGATGTGTGTGTTATCAGATTAGCAGATTATCTTGATACTTGATCGAATCGAGAGGGTTTTTCAGAAGTCCTGATCACTTAAGATCTGGTTGGTTCAGAAAAAAAAAATTGAAAAAGTGAAATAGAATCTAGGAATCCACCAATTTTTGTTCTAACCAGTTATCTTTTATCATCCCTAAAACAAATCTTTAATTAATGTAAGCTGTCAATTATCCAAAATGTTATTTCCTCTACCTTCCAAACTTTTATGCCAATTAATGTTAAAGGAGGAAAATGGGGGGCATATTGGTGACAAGGTCCGGAAAGTGTTACTCCAGTCAAGCTTTTAAAAGCCTGTAGGACACCTACACCAACAGCTGCAAAACATTACAGGGGTCTGAGGTCCTTCAGTATCCCAGTGACCTGCAGGACCCTTGGTCCTCAGCTGTCATATCGTATGTCTGATAGGGCTAGGAAAGTGAGGGTCAAATGCAGAGGTGTCTATTTTTGTAACAGTGCCCTTCCCTATCATCCTCACATTACTTCCAGCTTCACCAACCAGAAACCTTCCAAAGCATTCCAGTCACATGTACGTTTAGTTCACTGTAGTCCTGCTAGTGTTTTATATAATCAGTTTCTGCAGGTTCTTTGCAGACTCTTTAGGTGTTCACTGAAACATACTTCAAGAAATAGCATGTTCAACAGCTGGCAAAGGCAAGAATTAGCATGCTAGTGACCTCCAAACTTTACATGGCACTATACTTCTTATTTTGCACCTTGAAGGTTCTCCTGAAGTCTTGAGGCTATGGATATTACATAATTACATTCCTCCATGTTTAAGATGAGCTGGTTGATGAGCTGGTCTGAACCCTGGACATGCTACATAACTGCAAGTATTAATGGCAGTCATCGGATTTGTTTGAAGGACTGAAAAGTGTGTTCCTATTTAGTCCATTCTGTTTAAAGAGTACATTGAATATCTGAAAAAAATGCTCTAACGTCAAATAAATGTCCACAGGCAATCCAGAACACATTGCCTAAATTTAAAATACTGCTAATGATTTAATGTTTCTTAGCTCTGTATCGTTAGTAGCTATCCAGTCCACTCTGGGCCAGCAGAGAGATCCTACTGTCAGGACTGCACCAGTCCAACCACCAAATGACCAGAGACTAAAAATAGCTGCAGGAAGAGACCTGTCCCAAATGGAGGCAGGACAGTAGTGGCAGCAGCAAGTCTCCTGGGTCCATATTTGTCAGCCTTCTGACAGCAAACATACTGATTCAAGATCAGTTTTTTGGCTTTCGGTGCAACTGGGTGGACAGCTGAAACTTGATCCCAGACCAACCCTTGTACTCTTGATAAATATAGATCTACAGTGTTCCTGCCAGTCAGACTGCAGATCATCAGCTAAGTTTCACGATTAAACAACTGTCCAGCAGAAAGCTGATCACCAACTGCATGTTCTTGCAAATTCAGCAAATGCACCAGTCTACCAATGCCTGAACCTGGCCTTGCTAACAATGACCAAAAGGCAATATAATTTAAAGACCTGTTGGGAATTAACATGTCTTTCCCCTACTTTTGCATATCCTTGCAACGGACCTTACCTGTAGGCTGTGCTTTAGTCATTAAGAAAACGGTGCATGCATTAAGCAGACAACACTTTGTACATGGTATCTCCTAATCAGTTAAGAAAGGTAGATGCAAATATTGCATTTTAAATCACTTTTGTAATCTACTTTAGCTGTTTTTCTTGAGGTTCCTCTTGGATCTATATTAGGCCACCTATCAGTTTTGCTAAAATCACTGTTTAGCAGTCATCCCTCCCCAAAAATGTGGGTCATATATTACAATTTTTTTGATTTCTTTACCTGCACACGAGACAACAAAAGAGGCAACAGTCCTTGGGATCAGTTCCTGTTCACCAAAGCCGAAATAGGGGTCACCCAGTGGAGAAGAGTTCAGATTGGCTTTATATACCGCTAATCCCTGTAGCCATTGGCTGGTCCATTTTAGAGCTTGGTGAAGTGTGATTGGACAAGGCCTGTCTCTGATGCCCAGTTTAGCTTACGAAAGGGCCTTGCATTTACATTTCCGTCATCTTAGATGGGATGGCAGCTGTGGCCTGCCCCTCTCCCTGAACCCCCCCCCCGCCCCTCCTCCTCCAGATACATAGATAGCTGTCCAGGCTGGGCTATTGCGAGGGGGGTAGACCATGCTAAAAAGGCCTGCGTGAAACTTTTGCAATGCATACCAGGGATAGCAGCAGTGCTCCTGCCAAGTAGAAGGCATTGCAAAAAATCTGCCTGGTGCTTATCACATGATCCTGTGAGCAAGCTTTGGAGCACTACTGATTTCACCAGTGGGTGTGCGTGTGTGCATGCATGTATGCGCTTTGTGCTTCTTTACCTTTAGATCTTCTATTGCAGTGTTGCATACATTGCACATGCAGCTGTATCCTTGTTCAGTGTGTAGTTTTTTTATATTGAATATACAGAAAGTGCTTAGCGACTCTCCACTTGTTTAAAAATTTCTCTTTTTTATAAGTAAGTGAAGTTTTATTGTACTTATTCAACTTCCTTTTCTTGTTTAAAATTAATATCTTTTTAATTGTTGCATACAAAAATTGATCTTGGTGGTTGGGGGATCCCCAAGTAGGATGACATTAAAGCCCCCTGAATGTTCAGAAATGGCCATGACCACAGTGGTGTGTGTGTGTGTGTGAGCTTTTTGGGAAGGACGTGTTACACTTGGCTGTCCTGCTCTTGGAGGGTAGAGGTGGGTTCCCATTCCCCATTGCAAGACGTTCCAGTTTCTTCACTGCAAGATCAGACATGAACATGTCAAAAAGATACTATGGAGCTTAAAGTCTTTCATTTCTGTCACAGTTTGATGGCTGGAAAAAACTAGAGTCCTGGGTTCTTACCTTTTCAATAGCTACTGGGAAAATTGACCTGGCTAACAAAACTGCCTGCAAGAACTTGAACACAGTGCAATCTATGGACAAACAAAATCAGTTTTTTTGTGTGTGTTACTGAAGCTGCTACACTGGGCTCCATTTTGAGCAAGGTGGTCATCTGGGCTTTCGAAAGTGAATCGCAACTTTCAATACCATCACTTGAAATGTCCTTTCCTTCTAACATGTGTGTATGTGAAATTGTATCATTGTGTAACTATAAGATTCTTCTAAGTCTTGAGAGCACTTTGTGAAAATGAATGCCTTTGGAATGTATATGCCTTGGAAAATGACTCCAAAGAGGTGAGACTGAGGCATTACTTCAGCATGCCTCACTACCTCATCTGTACGGTCACATAAGGTCACACAGATATGTTACTTACTTAGTGCCTTTGACTGATTAAACTCCCAGCCAGCACTACATAGTGCTTGAGTGTGGTAGTACAGAGATTGAGATACAGCTCGTAGTTCAGTTTTATGGCTCAGTATTGAAGGTTTTGAAGGATCGTCTGATTCCTTTTGCTTGCTTGTAGTGTTCAGTTCCATTTTCTGTACCTAAAAGTAACAAAAGATAATTGTAATTGTGTGCAACACAGCTCATGTTGGTGTTTACACACCCCCTACTTTACTGTAACACGTCCATGTTCCCTTTGCACCCCCTTTGGCTTAATGTCATGTGACACCCAAAGTTGCCTTGGTCATCTGAATCCACCATCTCCACTGAAAATGCTTCACTGTTCACCCACTCTTTACAACCATTTCTCATGCTGTCTTTACTGAGCGATTTAAATCTCGCATGCTCTTGAACTAAAGGAGGAGCTGATAAGAAAGGGTCTGATTACTTTTCCCAAGCTCTCCATGTAAATTATGAATGATTCCTAAAACCTATAGACACTCAACCATTCAGATGTTTTACATGAACTGCTGGGCATTTGGGTCCACAATCCAGTTTTACCTCATAGAAACATTCATAGCTTCTTAATTGTGGTGTTACAGTGAAAGAAGAGCCAAGGAATTCAAGAAGAAAATCACTGACTAAAGCAAAGCTTTTGACTGTGACCATCACGTAAATTTATTCTAATTGTTCTTCTAATGAGAAATCTCGGATCACCAAGCCACCGCCATGACAAGAAATAGACCAACAGGCTGGTTCCACTTCAGCAAAGGAGTTAGACAAGATTGGTGGACGAAACCTCTATAATCTTCAATATGCAGATGACACAACACTTGTAAGGGAAAGCTGAGTGGAGACCTGAAGGTCCTTATTAGGAAATTTAAGGACAGAGTAAAAACATGGGATTTTGTTTTTGAAAACGGGAAAGAATGCTAACTTTACCACTGATGGGGAAGATGTAGAGGTTGTGGACAGCTTTTGCCAACTTGAATCAATTGTTAACAACAAAGGCAGCGAAGCAGCGAAGAAATATAGCACAGACTGGCACTCAGCAGAACAAGATCTGTAAATGAAATTTTGTAATGAACATAACCATCTAGTCCAGGGTCAGAAACGACTCTTTAACTGCCCTGTTGCGGCTCCACAGCAAAATTAGATTTTTAGGTAAAATAAAATAATCCCCCTTTGCAGTAAAATAAAGCTCTGCTGATCATTATAACACAGTTTTAACAATTAGTGGCCTTAAACGCTGGAGTTAAAGTAGGCTATAGCTGCTATTTCACCCTTTAACCCTGAAGGTTGTTGCACCGACTGCTGTCAACATAGCAATGCAGACAACAATCTCACCTAGCTAGTAGCTAACGAAAAAGCAAAGAGAAAGATTTAAGATGAACATTGATAATTTAGAGACAAATGGACAGACTTCTTTGCATTTGTAGACACTCCAGCAGGTATATTGATATGTTTAATCTGCAAAGAGAAACTGTCAAACACTAAAAAGTTGCGAAGGTGAAGTCAGCTTCTCGCTCGAATTTTCCTGTTCCACCTTAAATAGTGCAGCAGTTACATTCTGGCACCTCAGGCACCATTTAAGGTGGAATGGGAAGGTTGGAAAAAGAAGCTGGTGAATGAGAAGCGACTTCAGCCTCGTAAGAAGTCGAATGTTGAGAGATATTTTACAAGTTCTACATTTATGGAAAAGTTCCTGCCAGAGATGCAAGAAAACTGGCAATAGCTGAGCTAAAACTTAAAGCAGAGCAAAGTAAGTCTGTGTTTTTGTTTATATCATATTTTTTAGCCTGTATTACTATATTAGCACATACTGAGGCATATTTACAGCCAAGATGTTAAAATGGACATAAAATGTTGTGGCTCCCAAGGTGGTTTGATTTATTTGATTTTTGTTGAAAGGACAAAATGGCTCTTCTTAACATTTGAGTTGCTGACCCCTAGACTAGACTATAGTTTGCAGTTTTTTAGGGACATCTTAGGGAAAGCTGGATAGATGCTCATGTTTTGAACATATTATGGACCAGTTCACTGGAAAAGATGGTTATGCTTTTAACAGGTGAAAGCTAAAGGAGAAAAAAGGACAACCAGCAGCAAGATCAGCATGGATGGTGGGTAGAATCATGAACCAGCCATTCAGAAGCCTGAAGACCCAAACAAAAGACAGGATATTCTGGGGAGACTCTATTCATGTGGTCGCCAGAAGTTGGAATCGACTTGACGGCACTTAATAATGTAATTGTTTAACATAATATCAGGTCTTAAGAGTAATAACTAAATAATAAATCTGCAATTTAAGGATTTGAATTTGGCACCACAAATCCCTTTTATAGTGGTTTTTAGTTTTCATTTTGGCTCCAAAGTTTGGCTCCCTGTTAAAAGCTGTGGTCTATTTAGAGCGAGACAGAGAGACGGAAAAGTGGGTGGAGGGGGGTCGCACTTGCGTCAGTGCACCAGGCGAAGGGGTGGCCAACTGGCACTGTTGTAGCTGCCATGGCAACCTCCAGTATCCACCGAACCAACACACCTGTCACGGCTCACCTTTCTCCGTCTCTCACTCTCACATTCATACATTTGTGAAGCGCCAGGTCCCTTTTCTCTTCATCTTCTTACGTGAAAATAATCGATTTTGTCAGGTCTCATTCTGTAACACGCTTACATAGACTCATTAATAAATTATGAAAGTTATATAAATTATACCCTGATTCCTAGTAGTTACTAAATTATGGTAGTCACCAAATAATTCACAATAGATACTGAATAATTTGTAGTAGAGACTGAGTCGTTCATAGTAGATACTGAATAATTCATAGTGGTTACTGAATCATTCATATTAGATACTGAATCAATAATAGTGGTTACTGAATCATTCATATTAGATACTGAATCATTCATAGTGATTAGTGAATAATTTTTAGTGCTTACTAAATTATTCAAATTAGATACTGAATCATTCATAGTGGTTTCTGAATCATACATAGTGGTTACTGAATCATTCATATTAGATACTGAATCATTAATAGTGGTTACTGAATCATTCGAAGTGATTACTGAATCATCCGTAGCGGCGCTGAATTATTCATAGTAGATACTGAATCATTCATAGTGGTTACTGAATCATTCATATCAGTTACTGAATAATTTATAGCAGATACTGATTCATTCACGTTCGATAATGAATCAGAATGGTTACTAAATTATTCATATTAGATACTGAAATCATTCATAGTGGTTATAGTATAAATCATAGTAACTACTGAATCATTCACAGCAGATGCTGAATAATTTTTATTATTTACTGATTAATAAGTCATAACGAATAACTGCAGTAACAGCCTCAGTTTAACAGGTTCAGTCTGATGTTTAACGGTATGTAAAACAGAGTTTGAACAGCAGATGTAACCGATGTTAAGAACGTGTTTGTCTTCCTCTATTAAGTCACCATTTCTGAGTTGTTCGCTGGCGATGATACGCTCTCTAACTCAAACACACAGCTGTTCTCCTCATGTCCCTCTCCTACAGCCTGCTAAATTAGTCACTGTCCCACCCTCAGCACTTTCACACCACCCACCTCTCTCTCTCACTCTCTTTCCCTCACTCTCTCTCTCCTCCCTTCCCATAACCTCTTACCTGATTCACCACGTT